TCCATACCATTTCTGTCCTTTATTGTGCCCATCTTTGCATGAAATGTTCCCTTGGTATCTCTAATTTTCTTGAAGAGATCTCTAGTCTTTCCCATTCTATTGTTTTCCTCTATTTCTTTGCATTGATCGCTGAGGAAGGCTTTCTTAAAAGTAAATTAGTAGTTGCTTAGTGGGGTAAGGAGATAAGATATTGGCTAAATGGTACAGAATTCTAAAACTGACTATGATACTGCTTACACATCTGTGAACATAGTAAAAACCATTAAATTGAATACTTTAAGTGGGTAAATTGTATGATATGTAAATTATATCACAGTAAAACTTTTAGAGAAAAAGGTAAGAGTGGAGCTGTCAGAATATTCAGCAAAGATATAGGAACATGTGACAGATCTAAACAAATATCTGTATAAAATAATACTGTAAATTGTGATTTTTTTTTTTTAATAAGAAAAAAGAACAAGACAAATAGAATACCTGGCAAAAACTGCATATAAGTTGGGAACATAAATGGAATTAAAGTAACCCAATTTCTTATATGTTTGTGTGGCAGGGGGTGAGGTGGGAGTAGGGGTTAAATTATTAATTTTAGTCTTTAAATATACATGGTCAAATTGGACAAATAACCCAAAAAATGCAGTAGCAGAATGTCTAACTTCCAAACCAACAGGAAAAAGAAATGGAATATTAAAATTAACAAACAAAAGTGAACAGAAGTCAGCAAACTATGGGCCAAGGACCAAATCCAGCCCACCAGCTGTTTTTGTAAATAACGTTTTTCTGGAGCACAGCCACGCTCACTGATATTTGTCTCTGCTGCTTCTGAGCTATAATGGCAGTGCTGAGTAGACAGAACAGAGACCAGATGGCCTACAAAGCCTAAAGCATTTACTGTCTGGTTCTTTACAGAAAACGTTTGCTGACACCTACAATGGAATACTAAACAACAGTCAGAAAGCAAGAATTACTCTCAGCTGCAGCTTCCTGAGCTTTGAAATAAATATAATAATCTCTCCTCTCTCATTTCATCAGAGGTACAAAGCTCAATTAGATAAACAATATTTGTGAAAGAACTTTTTAATCATCTGTGGCCTAGTAATGCTCTCAACCTGTTCTATAGCTTCAGCTTCACATACACCATTTTCAGATTCCAACTAACAGAACCTAAATCCCTAAAACAACAAAAAGATAGACCCTTACATTCCAACACAGAGAGATGTCAAGACACCTTAGTTTAAAGGCAAGCTAGTAACACATTAATGTGAATAACCCCTCAAATAGGATGAGTTAGTGAGTGAGTGAGTGCATATGTGTTACTGTGAAGTTCTGAAAAGATAACAGTGGATATCTATTTCTTGGGCAGAAATAACATTTTATGAAGTATACTCACTACTTGAATCCTTTTCATTAAATTATTTGTTTTGAGATAATTGCGGGTTCTGAATACACTTTACCCAGTCTCCCTCAATGGTGACATCTTACAAAACTATATAGTACAATATCACAGCCAGGATAGCGACATTAATACACTCCATGATTTTATTCCAGTCTGCCCTGGACCCCTTGATACAGCTGTCCCGGTCCTGACAATGTCTGTGGTTCTCTCTTGTTAAGAGTCCTCACTCCTGTCCCTGGCCAGGGCTGTGTGTACCCTCTTCTGTGGCTGTGTGCTGTGTATGTGTACATATTTCATCACACATGTAGGTTCATGCATCATCTACCACCACAGTTAAAATACAGAGCAGCTGCATCATCATAAATTTCCACTTGTTGACCTTTTATAACCACAGCCCCTTCCTTCCATCTCCTCCTCATCCCACAGCACCCATTCATTCATCTTTGTCATTTCAAGAATGTCATATAAACAGAATCGTGGTGTCTGATCTTTTGAGATTGGCTTTTGTCACTCAGCACATTTCTCCAGAGATTCACGCAGGCTGTTATGTGTATCCAGGCTTTGCTCAACAGTTCCAGCTTGTGTAACCTACAGTAGGTCACCTGCTGACAGGCACCTGAGTTGTGCCCAGTTTCCAACAATTATAATAACAACAATTACAAACCAGGCTGCAGCGAACACTTCTGCATAGGGTTTTGGGTGAGCCTAAGTCTTCCCTTCTCTGCAACAAATGCCCAGGATTGCAGGTGCTGGGTTATAGTGCCTGTGCATGTTTAGTTCCACAAAACTAGTTTCTCGGCACCAGCGTTCAGCGTTGTCTCAATGTACTTAGTTTAGTCATTCTTAGAGTTGTGTAATGATCACTTGAATCTCTTATAAGATTCCATTTACATATGAAGTAAGAAACTGCAATAAAGTTAAAAAGTAATCCATCCTTATTACAATTTTGAAAAATACAGAAGTGTGTAAAAAAGGAAGTAAACTTCTATGCTTCTTCTCTCGATAAAAGGAATACTGAAAAAAAAAAAAGGAAAAAAAAAAATACTGATACTTATTCCTAAATCAATGTACCCAATTTGCAGACAATGTAGGGCAGTCCATCACTTTATTCTGATCGAGGCTCCCTTTTGGATTTCTCCCCACCATGAGGACAGCTCCACCCCCAGACATTTCAGTTAATTCCCTCTGGGCTCTTAGTTTTGAAGGGGACCTCCTCAAAAGCCAAACGGCCACAGAAGAGGGTACACTCAGCCTTGGCCAGAGACAGGAGTGAGGACTCTTTTTCTTCTTTTTTAATTTATTTATTTTAGTTGGAGGCTAATAAGAGTGAGGACTCTTAACAAGAGAGAACCACAGACACATTGTCAGGACCAGGACAGCTTAATCAAGGGCTCCAGGGCAGCCGCCCAGAGGAGGCAGAGATCATTCTGTTTTGTTCCTGTCTTTTCATCAGTTCACTCCCACTAGAACAGTGTTCCTTAACCATTTCAGCATCTTGCGAAACCTCTGACAGCCTAGTGAAGCCTATGGATCCTTCTCAGAAAAACATTTTTTTTTTCCATTTATTTTTATTACTACAATATTGTAGAGTGGTTAGCCTCCAACTAATAAAAATAAATAGAAAAACATTTTTAAATGCAGAAAAAAAAGAGGGTGACCATGTCAAATACCAAAATATTTTTAAGACAAATATACTACATAGCATTACATAATAAAATCTCAGGAGTGACAAATATAAGGATATCATGAGATATCTATAGGAACTACGGTGTGAAATCAAAAGGTCAGATTTCTCTTAATGGGAAAGTTGGGGGTCCTGTTGACCCTACAGTGGTTGTTGCCACATTTTTAATGGAAGGAAACACTAAACTCAGTCAGAGGTTATGAAAACAAACATGTAAGTTTTTTTTTCCTATCCAAGCTCATGGAGGCCCTGAATGCCCTGATTTCATAGAATCAGAAAGAATAGGATCAGGCCTCTTCCCTAAGAGATTCTCCCAGGGTGCCACTTGGCCTTAAGTAGGAGAAGGAAGGAAGCCAGACACACACAACCACAGGCGGGGGCCTGGGCCCAGAATCCCCCTGAGGGCTGTAGGAGAGATGGTCAGCAGGGTCTGCTCTATGGCTGCTAAGAAGGAAGCACAGGACAGTGGCGTCAGGTCCTAGACCCCAGCAAAGGCAGGGTGGACAGAAGGCTCGGCTCAGGGTGGCCTGGAGCCGACTGAATGAAGGGGGCTCCTCCCTAGAAGCCAAAGTGACATGTCATCACCTGGCCCAGTCTATCTGGGGGAAACTTTAGCCACTTTTTTAAAAAAATTTTTTAATTGGAGAAAAATTGCTTTACAGTGTCGTGTTGGTTTCTGCTGTGAAAGAAAGTGAATTCACTCAGTCGTGTCCAACTCTTCGCGACCCCATGGACTGCAGCCTCCCAGGCTCCTCCGTCCATGGGATTTTCCAGGCAAGAATACTGGAGAGGGTTGCCACTTCCTTCTCCAGGGGATCTTCCCGACCTGGGTCTCCCGCACTGCAGGCGGACGCTTTACCCTCTGAGCCACCAGGGAAGCCCGGTTTCTGTTGTACAACAATGCAAATCAGTCATAATTATGTGTCTCCTCTCTCTGGGGAGCCTCCCTGCCCTCCCTACATCCTACCCCTCTAAGCTGTCATAGAGCACTAGGCTGGACTCCCTGCATTATAAAGTAGCTTCCCACTAGCTAGTTGTTTTACACATGGTAGTGTATATATATAAACTGGCTCCAGGCCACCCTGGGCCCTACCCTCCCTGCTACCTTCTCAATTTGTCCCACCTTCTCCACCCCTCCACCTCCCGCTCTGTCCACAAGTCTGTTCTCTATATTTGTGTCTTCATTCTTTTCCTGCAAATAGGTTCATCAGTACCATTTTTCTAGATTTCATATGCTGCATTAATATACAATATTTGTTTTTCTCTTTCTGACTTACTCCACTCTGTTTAACAGGCTATAGATTCATCCACCTCACTACAAGTAACTCAAATCTGTTCCTTTTCATTAGCCCCCTTTTTTTTTAATCCATAATTTTTCTGCTTTAACCATCAGGAGTAGGTACTGGAAAACACTTCTTATGAAAATTCTGAGTTAGTGTTAAGAGCCTAAGGAGCACACAGTATGTTTCTGGAAGAGTCTACCCACCTTTGTCAGTGCAAAAGCCACTGTACCATCATCCTCAGTGGAAAGATCGAGCAGCCTCTGGTAAAATGCTTCATCATAAGGCCCATCTATTTGCAATGTTTTTCTGAAGAACAAAGCACAAAAAAACGGGATAGCAAAGCTCCCTGGAAATCATCTGTTAAACTGTTTTCAGTTTAAGAATCATACATCTGTTTTTAAAGAACATTAGCGGATTCATCTCTTCTTAATGCTAAACTGTTATGAAGCGTGAAACTTTTAAACACAGCTTGCAAGACCAGAAACCAGCAGAGCCTGAATGTCTCTTGTTTATGCCAAATGGTGTCGAGGTCAGAGATTCTAGTGAAGAGGTGACAGGGAGGAAGCCAGACCAGGCCACAGCTGCAGCCCCCACCGCAGCCACAGGTGTGGGTCCTTGCAACCCCCTTCAAGACAGACAGGAAATGGACAAGGAAGCGCCTGGAGGCCGAAGCCCAGCTGGGGCCGAGTGAAAGCGGCTCCCTGGTGTGGAGCGGCACTGCCCCCTGCAGGCTCAGCTCCAACTCAGGACATAGAACTGCCTAACACAGGGCCATCAGGACATACTCTCCTTTCTAGAAATGGGAAAATGATCTCTGATCTGACAGGACCTTGGTCCTCCTTCACATGGCACTGAATCTCCGGGCTGGCCCTGCATCTGGGGGCAGGGAGGGGGTAGCTGGGGTGAGTCATCCTCCTGGGAGGCCTATGCAGTTCTCCCACTGGGTCAACCTCAGGGCTGCTCGGGACCCCACACAGGCCCAGAAAGGGCAGGGGAGCACTGGGTCTAGGCCTCACCTCTCCTCAGGAAACTCCTCCAGGTACCGCTCAACCCGCCGGTACAGAGGGTAGAGGCCTTCGATGTCCAGCAGGTCCAACATCTGCACCTGGAGGGTTTTGTACAGAAGACAGCCCTTCGGTAACCCTGAGCGCTCCGGGGTGTTTTTTCCTACCAAGAACATCAGGGGAAAACGAGAAGTTTACTGTCAAGGACCGAAGAAGGTGGCGGGCACAGGCCGCACCCTGCCTCACGGAGCTGCTGCGGCTGGGCCGAGTGCACGTTCTGGGTCAGGCACAGAAGAGAGGCAGGTCCCACAGCTTCCTGTGTGCGTCTCCCTCCTCTCAACATCCTTCAACCTCCACACCAGCCCAGTCAGAGAGATAACCCTCAGTCTAAAGAAGACTAGGCACAAAATGTAAAACGACCTTGGTAACGTTCTCACATCTGCAAGATGGCATCTGCAGAGCCCAGGGTCGCAGCCTGTGTTGAGAGGTGTAGCCGCGCTGAGCAGGGAGCCATCAGGGCAGGCCCAGTGCAGAAACAAGGTCCATTCCACACTCGAGTGTTCTCAGGGCCTCAAGGGCTGGGGAGACAGAGTCCTAGCTCATGTACCCCACCCTTCAAGGAAACAGCCATGTCCGATGAACGAACAAACATCACCAAGCATGGGTCCAAGCCACAGGGGGCAGCTGTGGCCATGTCCAGTTCTGACACTCTGGCCTCTGACTTCCCACTTCTGGCAAAACACGCTCAGTCACGCAAGACAGAGTGAAAATGCACAGGTCCAGCTAGAAGGGATTTGTTACAATTACAGGTTATTCATACAGTAGAGTATCTAACTTATGGTCAAAAAATAAATTAAAAAAAATAACACGTAGAATATATCGTACATCCCATGGGTCAGACGTGTGTCTGTGTTCGTATGCAGGGAAGGTCTGGAAGAAAAGTCCACAGGGATCTCAGTGACCAGTGTCCACCTGTGTGTCCTTCCAAACAAGTTCTGTCTACTTAAGAGCAGTTAAGTACCCAAACGCATGCATGAGTTTACAAAAATTGTCTGAAATGACTAGGCATCACTTTTGCAAAAAGAAAAATACCCACAAAATTCATCTGTGCAGAACAACATGGCATCGGGGACAAAAGAAGGGTGACTTGTGGCCAGGTAGCTGCATGGCAAAACAACCGCGCCTAAAATCCATGCAGGAGCAAAGCTGCCGTCTTCCTGCGTCACACCCCTACGGCATCCTCAGAGGCTCCAAGAGACTACAGGAATTGTCAGCACAAAAACTGAATAATCTGAATCCTCCTAGTCAGCCCCTCAAAATAAGATCCTGGTTATGGTTCTGCATGCTACATACTTGAGTGTGCTGGTGAGCCCACCAGCAGATGACAAAGGTGGCAAATGAGGAGCCCATGAACCTTCATGGCAAAACCCAAATCAGTCACAAAGTCACCTTGAAGTCTGGATGCCCACTAAGTCAAAGCCAGCCCACGGCAAGTCTGTGAGGAATGGGGCCTTGAGTAGGAGACACCCAGAGTTACAGGTCTCATACATCTGTGTTCACAACCTATCTGCAAATTGCCACCCACTGAGGCCACCCGCCCGCCCTAAAGGGCCTTGCACTGCGCGAGTCCAATATTCTGGGCCTCATTTCTCTCCATCTAAGAGAAAGGCCAAGGAAAACCTACCTCCAGAGTTGCAATGAGATGGAACAATGTAGAGAAACCACAGAGGATGTGCAGACATGTCGGACAACATTTAGGGAAAATCTTATCGCCCAAATATATGCTGCAATTTATAAACCCAGATAAGAGATGGGAAAGGTAATGTCCCCACCTGGGGCTGAGATGATAGGGAGGCCCAGCTTTGGGAGCCCTGACAGGACCAAGGCTGCTCCCACAGAAGCTCCGTGAGGCCAGGCAGGACCCTTGCAGGCCATGCCACGGGCTCTGCTTCCCCTGCGCCCAGCCCGCCAACCAGGCCTACCTTGGCAGCGCAGGCTCCTGCTGAAAGGGCTGGCTTCACAGACGGGTGGGCCCCGCAGCCCAGGCCCCGACCTGAGGGCACCCGCCCGGCCCTTGTCCGAGCCACTCAGTAGCACCCGTGTGATGACACGCACCAGCTCCCGGATCACAGCCCTTGTGCAGTGGGGTCCACTGGCCAGGCCATTGGACGGGAAGAAGAATGGCTTCAGGTGGTGCGCAAGCTCACTCCAGTCAGTCATGGGGCTGCGGGCATCTTTGCAGCCATAAATCAGCTCACCGTTCTTCAGGAAGGGAAAGAGACAGGGAAATGTCAAGTCCAACAGGTTGATAGAAAAATACCTCCGTCCCCACCCACTAGGCAGGCAAAGGTACTTGTTTATACATGCCCCCATTTAGGGTCTCTACCCACCCTCGTGTACCACATTAACTAACCAAGTGGAAAATCCCACTGGGACATGAAAAAGAAGAAAAGTTCTCAAAAACCAAATACCAGAAAGGCCCCAGACCTGAGATACAAACCCTCAGACAGGAACACATGGTAGGCTGGCAACCTCAAACAAACTCAGCCCAAAGCACAAACTCCCAAAGACCCCAGCCTGTTACTGAAGACGCCAGGTGACACTGCGCTACTGAGGGACACACAGTGTCAGCCTGGCCCTGAGCAGGCAAACTGCCAACCACTGTGGGCGCACATTGGCAGCCCGCATCCCAGAGGCCTTCTGTCCTCTGTGAAAGACTAAGCCAGGCTCCAGCCAGGGTGGTTAAGGCCATCAGCATCACTAATACAGAAGTCTTCATTTTGGAGGCCAATCCTGCCTTTTAAAACAAAGTCCAGCAAAGAAACTCCTCATGGCACCAATGATCCCAGGGCTACAGAAAGGGATGCTCAGTAGGTGCAACCCCATGACTTTTTACAGGTGTGCAATGTCCAGGAGAAAAGCCCATAAGGGTATCCCTACACCCCTGATCAGCAGTCAATCCCAGGGGAGAGACATTTTCTAGTCTGTGAGAGTGTGGTCAGCACCCTCCAGTAGGTCCCCAGTGGCCTTCATCCCTTGCTGCTCACACCCCATAGTTCTCTCTCCATACCGTGGAGGTTTAGTCTGTGTGACAGAATACAAGTAAAGCCAACAGCATACCCCTGGCAAGATTAAGTTATAAAACAATGCTGTGGATTCTGTCCTGATGATCCTCTTCTCAGATCACAGTAGCCGCACTGAGCCACCATGGAGCTGTGGGGCTGCCTGCCAATGGCTGTGGGGGCACCCTCCGAGCAGCAGAGCCTCTGCCCACCCCCAGCTGAGCCCTCAGATGAGATGCAGCCTTCAGAGGGACCCTGAGCCAGAACCAGCTAGGCTGCTCCTTCTGGCCACAGAAACTGAGATGATAAGCGGCTGTTATGCAGTAGTAGATGATACCATGAGGACGATCCCAGCTCTGCCCCCAGGCTGCAGATAGGGGTCAGTTCAATCCACTAAGAAGCAAGGACGGGGATTCAGCAGTGTGATGCCTCCGTAGGAGTCCCCAGTCAGCGCTGTCAGAGGGCACAGATCTGGGTGCCCAGGGAAATAGGAACACAACTGAGGCCGCTGCTGACCAAAGGACCAGGAGAAACCAACAAGAGATGCTGCCCCTTGACATGGGCCTTACAGAGGGAGGGGGGTGTGCCAGGCAAACGAAAAGCAGGAGCTTCTGGGAGGAAAGCAGGGGAGATGACGTATGGAGCCAAAACCACTCAACGTGAGCTGTGGCCAGGAGGCAGGGCCAGGGCTCAGCCTGCCGTCCAGTGCAGGGGAAGCCTTGGCCCACCATGAAGCTCTCTCCTCCAAGACCATGAGCAGCTGAGTGACCCTGGACAGTAGAAGGCCTCCTCTCCCCAGTGTCTGGAATCCAGGCAGACAGGCATCTTACATATACAAATATGGTTGCTCAAGAACCTCATGTGACATTTGCAGAGAGCTATCGTCCCAGTCTCTATGACAGTCCCACATGGCCCCCACCACATCTCACAAGTGTCCAGCATTAGGGTGGACAGAGCCACAGGCTTGGAGTCTGTGAATAGCATTCAGACAGAAAGGAGAAGGTTCCAACGGCAGAGAATACGGTGTCAGCACGGATCATGATCCAGGAGACCCCTCCACACCTGGAACTTCCCAACAAGGGAGAGCTTGCCAGCACTGCAAAATGTACTGCATTGCTCCTGGTGTTATTTTAAAAAGCCATTCCATGTCACTTCTTTTAATCCATCTCTTTTGAAACTATTATCTTAATCTCTGGATTTCCTCCCAAGCTGAGTTCAACAGAAGCAGCAGATAGCCAGGGTTCTCAGTCCCAGTCCCAGGTCAACTGATCCAAGGGCCAAGTCAGACTCACCACTCAGCTTATGTTGGCCTGACAGGCCAGCCTAAGTGAGGGCAGTCAGAAAAGGGTCCACTTGAGACAAAATGCCAGCCTTACTATAGGTTCCAAATAAATCCCCAGAAGAGAGGGAACTTATCTTTGGCATTTAAATATAAAATTCCTAAAGTCTTTATAAGAGTTGAAAACAAAAACTGATTTTAAAATATGTCCTCTTTTTCTTGATTTGGAAAGGTGGAAGGAGACAAGGTAACGCTGATTCAATACGACCAGATTTTGGAACCACATGGGGAGAAGTGAGTCAAGAACAGGCTTCACTCCCTCATTCCCCAGGCTCACTTCCGAGGCTACCAGTATGCAGAGCAGCACTATCCACACGGAGCAGAATGCAGAGGGCCCCAGGCTGTCCAGACCCAGCAGCCCTGCCACGCCACACAGACCCTCCGCCTGTGAACCTGGAGCCCGTCGCGAGCTCTTGCTTATATGTCACACCTAATAACATAACCAGGGCTGGGAGCAGTTAGTGGTGAGCAGAAAAGATGACAAGGGGGACCCCAGAGGACATATCTCCAACACAAACCGTTTCCCAGATCTGCCCCCTCTTCCTGCACCCCCTCTGCCCACTCCTCTGCCCCTCAGCATCTTGCCCATGTATGCCTGACAGCAGCAGGTCAGGGACCACAGGGCCTGAGCAAGTCCAGTCAGAGTGCCTGAAGCAGGTGGTCATGAGGAAGCAGAAGGTGCCAGTGCCAGATGGTGAGTATGCTGCATGCAGAACCCTTCCCCTACACAATCAGGATGCAGGACAATCGGAGCTGCAGGACTTTGAGAACTCACTAACAGACGAGGAGATCCCCTAATTGTAAGCTCCCTAAGTTAACCGGAAGGGAAGGCACAGGTGTGGCCACCCTTTAGGCTGTCCCGCCCCAGGTCCTACTCCCATCTCAACCACAGAGGACACGTGAGACGCAGTCAGGGCCATGCTTACCCAAGGACCAGAGTCAGGGTCTGTGCCTCGAGTCCGAGGCCACCCAGTGGGCAAGGAGTTACCATTACACACCCCAGGAGTCCCAGGATGACACGTGCTTATGAAATAAGGCTTGGACAAAGGACCCAAAGGATCACACTGAGGCAGCCCCAGTGCAGATGCCCTTGTCTGCAGGTCACAGAGCCCTGTCAGGGACAAGAGCACCAGGGCTTCATCCAGCTCAGCTCAGACACCCACTGGACCCACCCAAAAGCCATAAAATAGAAGCAACTTTTACCTTAAAGATCTTTAAGTTGTTCTGTGCCTCCTGTAACAAGCTTTTCAAAGCAAAGTACATTCTCTGTTTATTTCTAAAAAGAGAAAGTATTATTGACAGTTAGAGCAGACTTTGCATTTGCCTGCCTGTGGCTCAGGGGACATGACCAAGAGTTGCCACTTGAGGTCTCCAAGCTTTGCAGATTAAGGAGCTGTATTCTCCCCAGCCCTCTTCAGAGAGGCGCCCCCGTCACCGCCCCTAACCCCCACCCTTCTCTCTGCCCCTTCCTCTGGCAACAACTCCCCAGCCACTGGCAATCTGCAGGAACCTATTGAGGCAATGCTGACCCCAGGCAAGAACCCTGAGCCCTGCCCAGGGCCCTGCTTTCTGCAAGCAAGTAGCCCCTACCTGGCAGAATGCACCCTCCACCCCCCACTACACAGAATGCCACACACCCCACCACCACCACCAAGAAAGGCAGCACTAGGGACAAAGGAGAAGTATTCTCTTACCCTGAGTAGAGATCGAGAGGACAGTATTTACTTATCTGCTTCCACTTCCCAGTTGCTACCTGTTAAGAGATCACCACAGGGTGTCAGTGATTGGATTGGGGAAGCACATTGGGCTAACTCTCACACAGAAAAGAGCTCAAGTGGCTGTGAGAGAACCAAGGCAGCTGAGGGCCCAGCAGGTGACACCACCTCCAGGTGCGTATCACTAGCCAGCGCAGGGAGCTTGACTCTGACTCCAAGAAACCTCGGCCCTCCTCTGAGAGCCTCACATAGCTGCCAGCCCTCCACATGAGCAGAGAAATGGCAGCAGGCACCTTTGTAAGATGCCATGGCTAAATTTTGCTAATCAGAGAACAAATCTTTACAATTATAATATCCAGGAAAGGTAGGTTGCACCCAACTAGCAATTTCATGTTGTAGGTGAGAAGACAAATTGGCACAACCTTTGAAAGGCAGCTTGCTGGTTTCCATCAAAATTTTAAAGATGGATGCCCCCTGGTTTGGCAAATCTATGAGGAATCATTGGGTCAGGGATGTTCACTGCGACATGTGAAACAACCTGTGAAACACAGCAAGACCTAGAAACATCTAAATAAATCAAAGCACATCTGCTCTTATGGACTAGGACACAGCAAGCCACATGTTGAATGAAAGAATCGATAAATAATATGCAGCCAGTAACAGACAGAGACAAAATCACAAATATTTATTCAAAGAGAAAAGCAAATGGCAGAACAATGCATATGAAATAACTTGCTTTAAAAAGAAAAAAAGGATATGTGCATCTATACATGCATTATCCAAATATGCAACAAAAAACCTTGACAGATATGTGAGAAACAATCTTCAAGGATTATTCAAGTGAAAAAAATCAATTAGCAGAATAATTGCTTATGGCAAGAAAAAAAAGACAGGACTCAAATGACTAAGAATGAAAGAAAATAAAGTACTATCAATCTTGCAGGAATAAAAATAAGTTTAAAGGAATGCTGTGAACAGTTATATGCCAACAAATTATGTGAAATGAACAAATTCTTTAGAAACATACAGCTACCAAAACTGACTCAAGAAGAAATAGAGAATCTAAACAGACATAACAAAAGACTGAATCAGTAATCAAAAATTTTTCAACAAAGAAAACCCCAGGGCCAGATGGCTTTGCTACTGAATTCCACTAAATGTTTAAAGAAAAATCAACACCAATACTCAAAACTCTTCCAAAAAACTGAAGAGTAAAAGATGGAAAATCTTCCGAATTCATTCTATCAAGCCAATTATCATCCTGGTACCAAAACTAGACAAAAACATCACTAGAAAAAAACTACAAATATCCCTCAAGAAAAAATCCTCAACAAAAACTAACAAACCAAAATAAGTAGCATACTAAAGAGATTACACACCTTCATCAAGTGGCATTTATCTACCAAATACAAGGGTGGTTCAACATATGAAAATCAATCAACATAATACACTATATTAATAGAAAGAGGAAAATACCTCATGATCATCTCAACAGATGCAAGACAAGCATGTGACAAAATCTAACATTCTTTCATGATTTAAAAAGCAAACTCTAAAAAAAAAAAAAAAATTGACAAACTTACTGTGAGAACATTACATTCCACAGTGAAAAACCAAAAGCTTTACCCCTCAAGACCAGGAACAAGATAAGGATAACCACTCTTACTACTTCTATATAATATTGTACTTATAATTAAAATCAGAATTACCATATGACTCAGTACTACTACTTCTGGGTTTATACCAAAAAAAACTGAAAGCACAGTCTCAAAGAAATATTTGTACAACCATGTTCACAGAAGTATTATTCACAATAGGCAAGAAATGGGAGCAGCCCAAGTGACCATCAATGGATGAATGGGATAAACCAAATATATTATACACATTCAATGGGTATTATGCAGCCTTAAGAAGGAAGAAACTTCTGATACAAGCTACAGTATGGATGAATCTTGAGGACATTATGGTAAGTGAAATAAATCAGTCACAAAAGGACAAATACTGTATGATTCCACATATATGAAGTACCTACAGTAGTCAAATTCACAGAGATAGTAACTACAATGGTGGGTGCCAGGGGCCTGAGAAAGGAAGAAATGTGTTATTTTATGGATGTAGAGTTTCAGTTTTACAAAACAAAAAACATTCTGGAAATGGACGGTAATGACAGTTGTACAACAATGTAAATGTACTTAATACCTCTTAATTGTACACTTAATGGTTAAGATGGTAAATTTTATGTCATGTATATTTCATTACAATTAAATACACATATTTATTTCAAAAAATTAACTGTATTTCTATGCAATAAACAACTTGAAAATGACATTTTTAAAAATTCTATTTACAATGCTTAGTCACTCAGTCATGTCCAACTCTCTGTGACCCCACAGACTGTAGCCCGTCAGGCTCCCCTGCCCATGGGATTCTTCAGGTAAGAGTACTGGAGTGGGTTGCCATTTCCTTCTCCAGCGGATCTTCCTGACCCAGGGAACCCAGGTCTCCTGCATTGCAGGCTGCTTCCCTACCATCTGAGCCATCAGGAAAGCCCCTACTTACAATGGCATCTCCAAGAACAAAACATTTAGGATAAGTTCAACAAAGGAAATGTAAGACCTATATGCTGAAAACTTTATAACATTTCTGAAAGAAACTAAAGACCTAAATAAATGAAAAAACCCTGCATTCACAGAGTACTAATACTGGTAAGGGAGCAACACTTCCCACACAAATGTGCAGCACAATGATTCCCTGTCAAAATCTCAGCTGGTCTCTTGGAAATCATGAAGCTTAAAGACATCTATATTGGCAAGGAAAAAGGAAAACTCTATTCACAGATGACACAATTCCATACATAGAAGATTCCAAAGAATTTACAAAGAAAGCTACCAGAGCTCATAAATAAATGCAGCAAAGTTGTAGGGTACAACACACATATTAGTTGTGTTTCTATACTCCAGCAACAAACAAACCAAAAAGGAAATTAAGGAAGCAGTTCTATTTATAACATTTACATTATAACATTTATAATATTCCAAAAGAATAAAATACCTAGATAAAAATTTAACCAAAGTGGCAAAAGACTGGTACACTGAAAACTATAAAATGTTGCTGAAAGAAAAAGAAAACCTAAATGAATGGAAAGACAGCTGTGTTCATGGATTATAAGACTTAGTATTATTAAGATGGCAAGGCTTCCCTGGTGGCTCAGACGGTTAGAATCTGCCTGCAATGCAGGAGGCACAGGTTTGATCCCTGGGTTGGGAAGATCCCAAGGGAATGGCCACCCAGTCCAGTATTCTTGCCTGGAGAATTCCACAGACAGAGGTTCCTGGCAGGCTATACAGTACCATGGGGTCATAAAGAGTAGGACACAACTGAGTGACTAACACTTATACACTATCCAAAGTGATCTATAGCTTCCTGTAATTTCTGTTAAAATTCCAACTGCAATTTTCTGCAGTTACAAAAAATCCAACTCTCAAAATCATATGTAATTGTAAGGAGCCTCAAATAGCCAAAACAATCTTGAAAAAGAAAACAAAGCTAGAAGACTAATACTTCCTGATATCAACAAGAGTGGCCTAAGGACAGACCAATAGAAAGAAGGTCAGAATTAATATAAGAATTAATATAAAGCCAATAAATCCACCAACACCAATCAATGGAGAAATGACAGTCTTTTCACAAGTGGTGCTGGAAAAACTGGATATCACATGTAAAAGAATGAAGCTGGACCCTTAGCTAACACCAAATATAAAAACTAACTCAAAACAGATCAAAGACCAAAACAAAAGAGCTAAAACGATAAAACTCTTAGAAGAAAACATATGGGAAAAGCATATGACCTTAGTTTAGGTAACGATTTCTTGAATATGAAAGCAAAGGCATTAGGCAACAAAAGTAAAAAAAGACAAACTAGACTTTATCAAAATTTAAAACTTTTGTGCAACTCTGTCAACAGAGTAAAAAGGCAACTGACAGAATCGGAGAAAATATTTGCAAATCACATATCTGATAAAGAGATTAATATCCAAAATATACAAAGGACCCCTAAAACAAATAAAAAAATCACAACTCATTTCAAAAGTGGGTGAGGAATTTGAATACACATTTCTCCAAAGAAGACATACAAATGGCCAATAAGCACACGAACAGATGTTCAACATCACTAACAGTTAGAGAAATGCAAATAAAAATCACTTGAGATACTACTTTGTATCCATTAGGATGACTATAATCACAAACAGGGATAATAATTAGTGCTGGTGAAGCGAGGATGTGCAGAAACTGGAGCCCTCATACATTTGTTGCTGATGTTGTTCACTTGCTAAGTCATGTCAGACTTTTTGCAACCCTATGAACTACAGCATGCCAGGCTTCCCTGTCCTTCACTATCTCCCAAAATTTGCATTTATGGTCTTTCTTTATGATCCAGCTCTCACATTCGTTCACTGCTGGGGGGAATACAGAACTGTGCTACAGCTATGCAAAACAGTCTACCATTTCCTCAAAACTTTAAACAGAATTTCCCCCAAGACCCAGCAATTCCACTCCTAGGAATATACCCAAGAGAACTGAAAAGAGTGACTCAAACATTTACATGTACACATACATTTATAGCAACATTACTCACAGTAGCCAAAATGAAAAAGCCATATGTCCATCAATAGATGAATGGATAAACAAGATGTTCCCATACAATGGAGGATTATTCAGTCATAAAAAGAATGCAGTGCTGATAAATGCCACAGCATGTATTAACCTCAAAAATATTATGTTAACTAAAAGAAGACAGTCACAAATAGCCATAATTTGTGTGATTCCATTTGTATGAAATGTCCAGAATAAGCAAATCCACAGATTCGGTAGTTGCCAAGGGTTGGCAGGACAACAAGTGACTAATGATGGGCACAGGACTTCTTTTTGAGGTGATGAAATGTTCTGGAATTAGATAGTGGTAATGGTTGTACAATCTTATGAATAGACTAAAATCTGCAGGATTATACACTTTAAAAGGGTAAACCTTAGGATATATATAACTATCTCAATTAAGAAGAAAAAGATGAACTACTTTTGAAATAAAAAGTAAACAGTATCTCCATTTTATTTCATTCCTCTAAAAACTCTAGATGACCCAGCCATTTACCCCAAGGCTCTGTGCAGTGAGAGAACCCAGCTGGCCAACTCTTCCTACCTTGAGGTGCTGGTGCATGCAGTAACGACACACCTTATGCTTCATTTCATGTGTAACATCACTGGAGAAGGGAATAAACCCACATTTGGGCTGCAAAACAGATAAGGAAGAAAAAATGCTTAGGGAGAAAACACATACCTTCAGGTAGACATATAACTACAGGATAATGAAGTGCAATTCCCAGGAGAATCAGGAAATGTTAGCTCTAAACATTCCCAAAAGTTGCTTTTATCATCAGTCCCCAGTGGGAATTGATGCCGCCCTTGTTGTATCCTATAAATATCTCTTTGCCACTGGAGAATCCACCCAGAACTCTCACTGGAGAAGAACAACGAGGCCTCAGTTGCTGGCTTGACAAAGTGGAACACAGAGTAACCCTGTGTTTTCATCGTAGAACAAGACTGGAAAGACTCTATGAGTGCAGATCTGTCCCACACTCTCAGCTCCAAGAAGCGGAGTCTCTCTGATAAGACTGCGTGAACAGAATGACAGAATGGTGCTCATCTGGTTCCTGGGATCCCAGAATGTCTGAAATTCTGGTTGGCTTTTAAAATCCAGAGTTTTCACATACAGTATGTAAGACCACTGCCTCGTGTCAGGGCACTGAATCATTTGTGACGTCTGAGACATTCGCCTCTGTTTAGAGAAGCAGAACATCGTCCACACTGAACACCCTCAGCGTGAACGCTCAGGGCCAAGAGCATGACCCAGAAGTCACCACCAGGGGTCTGGAGAAAGGAAACAACGAGATACCAGGAAGGCTTCCTGAGGGAGACTCAGGCGGCCACTCTGTACAGGGAGCCATGAGGTGAGGCAGGGGAGTGACCCTTATCCAGTAGTCACTGACCTCCACAAGACAAGCAACATCCTTTGGAGCCCCACCTCAAGGTGGGGAAAGCGCACTCCAGGCAGATGACCCATGGATTTACAAGTTCTCCTTTCTCCCCAATACCATTTCCCCTTTAACAAATATTCACCTTGATCTCCACACACAGAATCGGCCGGTGCTCTGCAAAACGGTAGGTCTGAAGTCTGGCTAAGTTGGGAAGGCACAGAGCATAGCCACTGAGAGTGTCCAGGTCCTTGTCACAGCGAGATTCTGGAAAACAGAGCAAGGAAAATAACTGAGCGTCAGTACAAGAGTGACGAACAACTCCATGGCAACCTGGACTCCTGTTGCGGGAAGCATCAACTCAGCCTCAGCTTTTGGGAGGTCACCTCTAAAGCTTGGGTTATCCTGCCTGACGAGTCTACGTAAGGACCTAGAGTCACACAAGTATAATCTGTGATTCCTGGTAGGAGTTTGGACCTCGTAGTTAACCAGCTCCACCTCCAGAGGGGCTGGAGGTTGAGGGCAGCCACACAACACAGGTGGCCAGCTGTGTCTACATGCCCAAGTCCCAGCAAAAACCTTGACCCCTCTTCTCTCAGCTGGTTTTAATTTGTGTCCCTAAGCCATAACCATGAGAATAACAGTGAGTTCTGTGGGTCCTCCTAGCAAATTATCAGACCTCAGGTTGGTCCTGGGGACCCCCAAATATGCTGCTGCCATCAAAAGTGAGAGTGATCTTGGGAACTGCCCCCCAATTCTGTTGATTCCCTTAACCCAGAAGTTCAGAGAGGACGGTGGCAACAGCCACTACCTTCCTTTTAAAGCTTCCTTCAGAATATTCAAACACTAACATTTCCTCAGCACTGACTACTAGAAGTTATACTGTGGACAGTCACATAAGATGTGGCCTCTAGATCCCAGAGAAGTCACCTTCCTCCTTCCCCACAACAAGGCTGAGTATGAATCACTGTTACACCAAGGGACAGTCTTATTACTGTTAAGCAGTATAACCGCTGATTGTAAAACCAATGATGCTCCATGGCACTAGTAACTAGAAGGCAGAATCACAGCAGGCCTCAGTCTGTCTAGATGAGGAAACCAGAGCCAAGACACAGTCCAGGTTTTGAACAAGGCTGCTGTCTCCTTCCCCTTCATTGGCCGTTTCCACCCATGAAGCCCTGCTCCTCACTGCTCCCCAAACCAGGGGCTCCAGGGCACAGTATCCTGTTTTCTTTCATTTTCCTAATCAAATAGAGAAAAAATTTCATATTGGCTTACTACACACTCTGACTGCCTGGCTGTGATTTAGGAAGGGACATGTCACTCCTTAACAACATAAATTTTGCATCCCTGTCTCTTGACTATGAAAGGAAAAGCTTTAACATGGTTAGTGTCATTACTGTGATGAATAAGTGTAGGGGAAGTACCTGAGGTGTGGAGGGAAAATACCTGAGCTGATGGGGGAGAAGTTATGTGAGGTGATGGGAAGGGGCAGTTATGAGAGGTGATGGGGTGATATATGAGGTGATGGGAGGGAGGGTATGTGAGGTAATGAGGGAAGATATGTGAGGTGATGGGGGAGGTATATGAGGAGATGAGGGTATGTAAGGGGTATGATAGGGAGAGGGTATGGGAGATGGTAGGATGGTAGGAGAGGATGTGAGGTCTTAGGGGAAAGTATGGCAGGTGATGGGGAGAGTATGGGAGGTGATGGGGGAGGGTGTGTGAGGGGATGGGGAAAATATATGAGGTGATGGGGGATGTATGTGAGGAGACAGAAAGTATGTGAGGTGATGGGGAGAGGGTACAGGACATAATGGGCAGAGAACACGTAAGATAATAGGGGAAGGTATGGGAGGTGATGGGGGGGTATGTGAGGTGATAGGGAGAGGATATGGGAGATGATGGGAGGTATGCAAGGTGACGGGTGAAGGTATGGGAGGTGATGGGGCTATGTGAGGTGATGAGGGAAGGTATGGGAGGTGATGGGGGGGTATGGGAGGTGATAGGGAGAGGATATGGGAGATGATGGGAGGTATGCAAGGTGACGGGTGAAGGTATGGGAGGTGATGGGGCTATGTGAGGTGATGAGGGAAGGTATGGGAGGTGATGTGGGGAGGTATGAGGAGATGAGGGGTATGTGATATGATGGGGAGAGGGTATGGGAAATGATGAGGGGAGGGTATGGGAGATGATGAGGGAAGGGTATGGGAAGTGATGGGGGAAGACAGGTGATTGGGGAAGGTATGTGAGGTGATGGGGGAAGACAGGTAATTGAGGGAAGGTATGGGACGTGATGCGGGAGGTATGTGAGGTGATTGGGGAAGGTGATGGGGGTGGTCTGTGAGATGATGGGGGGTATGTGAGGTGATGGAAGAAGGTACTGGAGGTGATGGGGGGTGCTATGTGTGGTAATTGGTTTGATAGGGGAACATATTAGTGATGATGGGGAAGGTATGGCCAGTGGGGAAAGGTACAGAAGGTGAAGGGGGAAAGTCTGGGAGATGAGGAGAAGCAAGTATATATGGGGGGAGGGGTACATTTCTACTGCTGGGTAGAATCATGTGTGGTGATGGAGGAAGCTATGTATGGTGATCCAGTTCCAGTTCTGTCCCTCAGTCGTGTCTGACTCTTTATGACCCCATGAACCAAAGCACGCCAGGCCTCCCTGTCCATCACCAACTCCCGGAATTCAGGGAAGTAAGTGAGGTGTGGTGGGAGGTACAAAAACTCAAGTCTCCCAGCTTACCTCAAGAGGCTAAGCAGATTGGGTGGTGCTGGCTTCTGAAAGAAGGGCCTCAGGACTGCCCTCCTCTAGGGCCTGGCCCACCCTCCACAGCTCAGGTCTGCTCTGGTTTTCTTTTGGACTCCTCCAGACCACCCTAGAGCCCACCTTCCTTTCCCTAACTCTCCTCCATCTCCTTCAGCTATCTTTTGCCCCTCAAAGGCATTTTTATTTTTATGAATTAGTTCTTGGTCATATACTCCCTGCAGTGATCTGCATATTTGACACCCAGAATTGTATTCACAAACTCCTAGGATTTCTACCCCTGATAATGAAGTTCCTGGCAAAAGAGTTGCTAAAAACTGTATCTATCTAACATCAAACACTTTTCAAATGGAATATTATAAATTTTCTAAGTTAGAAACCCTTACCTGGTCTTTCACATTGTATCTTTAAACAAAGCTGTTTCACAAAATCTAAAGGCAGCTGAACAACTTCCTGTAAGAGCAAATAAGAAATACTCAGTGTGTGTTACACAACAAGGGAAACGTACTTAATGCCACAGAACCACAGACTTTAAAATGGTTAAAATGGTAAGCTTTATGTTATGTATATTTTACCACATTAAAAAAATACTCAGTATGTAAGTTTTGGGAATAAAAGCTGCTCTGTTATTTTAAGGACATGTCCAGATTATGTCCAACTCTTTGGGACCCCATGGACTGTAGCCCACCATGCTCCTCTGTCCATGGAATTTTCCAGGCAAGAAATACTGGAGTGGGCTGCCATTTCCTTCTCCAGGGGATCTTCCCGACCCAAGGATCGAACCTACATCTCCTGTGTCTCCTGCGCTGATTGGTGGATTCTTCACCACTAACGTCTCTGTGCACTAACAGGAAGAGGCCCTCCTCAGGGTGGCTGGTGTCCACAGTGGCAGTGGCTAGCAGTGTGCCCAATGTCACCCACAATCAGTCTCCAGAGAACGCTCCTCAGGCAGCTCTGTGTTCTCACAGAGACCTCATCCTCATTCTTCAGGGGTCTGTGGATGGCAGGACAGGGGCCCGAGACAGCCCTCTGCCTGCAAAAACATCCTCACCAGTGGTCTCCTCGGGCGACCTGAGGCTTCTCACATTCCCATCTGAGAAGCAGCTCAAGGAACAGGGTCTGATCAAATATTAATCTCTGGGTAAGGGATTTCCCTCATGGCCCAGTGGCTTAGACTCCCCACTCCCACATGCAGGGGGCCAGGGTTCGAGCCCTGGTCAGGAAACTAGATCCCACATGCCACAACTGAAAAGATCCTGCAAGGTGCAGCTAAGGATCCCACATGCCACAGCAAAGATCAAAGATCCCATGTGCTACAACTAAATCCCAGCGTAGCCTAATAAAATAAACTTTAAAAAAAATAAAACCCCAGGTGAGACGTCCTGTGCCCCCGTCAGCTACAGGATGGCCAATATTTGGTGCATTTGGGCAAAAAACAAAGAAGCAACTTCTTTCTGCTTTGCTGTTTCTTTGCAATCTCCCAAACTAAGAGTTTCTATTTAATCCACATTGCTCACAATTTTCCCTGTATTTCCAGGGTGGCAGAATTCTGACTTCTAAAGAATCCCAAGGGAATGGAAGAGACTGGCCTAGAAAGAGGATGCTGGAATCCTGTCCATTTACATGCCACACCTTCTCCATCACGCCCTGTCCCACCTAACCTCCAACTCACAGGAAGACAGGCCCAGATCAGTCCCCAAACCAGCCAGGCAGGGTTGGAGGCAGCACGGCACAAGGGGTGTGTCTGTCTCTCTATCTGAGCCTTGCTCTCACCACTGGGCTAGTCATTTCTCATCTCAAGACACAGAAGAGGGAAACACTATTAAAAGGGCTCCCCTCTAACCTAGCTCATGTCATCAGGAGGAGAAAACCATATCGTTTACAAATGCTGATTCTGCCTTAATATGGTCCTATTCGGACCAGAGACATGCTCTGTATCCCACGTTCAACAGTGCTGGGCCTGAGAGGCGGTCCTCTCACTACCACAGCCACCTGGAGGAAAAGCAGGTTGTGCTTCACTCTGGCAGTGTCTTCGTGCGAAGGAGGTATGTCAACAGGGTGAATATTCCCAAAATGGGACCTTGGGAATCCACCTCACAGGCCCAGAGCGTTGTCCACTGTGGACAAACAGAATCAAACTTGGGAGTCAGAGCATGCCCGAGGCCCTGAAGGGACATCCCAGTGCTATTCCCACCTGCCAGGCTGCCGCTGGCTGGACCCGCAAGCTCCTCACCACTCTTCTTCACCACTGGCCCTTCCTGGAAGAAAGGTCTAGAGCTCCTGAGTGAGACAGAGAAACACTCCCACTTGGTCAGATGAGCATCCTCTCGCCCCAAGAAGGACACTGATAGTCGGCACACCTGCATTCTCTCAGACACCGTTCAGGCCAAGAAGTAGGTGGCGCCCAGCACACACTTACTCAGGCTCTCACAGGCAGTCGGTTTCAGGCTTTCACAATTTAACAGGACAGCTGGGGAGGGGTGGTGCCGGCCCCCAGGATGGCCTCAGTGGCCTTTGCCTCTGTGTAGTCCCATACTGCCTAGAATTGATCTGTGGAGACCCCAGGATGCTGTGGAAATGACAGACACAACTTCTCGACAGGTCATCTCAGACTGCGCACTGGGAGAGTCAGGACCGAGCCACAAGGATGCTCAGAGCTCTGCAGAGAGTCCACATGGGGAGCTGCTGAGCCCAGCCAACAGGTCAGCAGCCAGCACCACACTGCAAGCTCCATGGCTCTGGGCCACCCTGGAAGAGGATCCTCAGCCCCAGTCTTCAGAGAAGACCACAGCCCTAAGGGCCCCAGAGAAGCACCACCCACAGTACATCCTAAGCTGTCCAAGGAGGACACTTTGCTGTCAGAGCCATTTAAAATTCTACTTTGCCAGGTGATCCTTAAGCTTCAAAGAAACATTCACTGAACCTTCTTGGTATCATTTTTCTCAAGATGCACACAAGGTACAGAACGCGCAAAGCAGGCAGCATTACTCCCCCTGTTCAAAACGACAAATCTGATCATCTGTTCAGGGTTCTGATCTAAGACAAACAGAAGGCCAGCAGAAGCAGAGGAGCAGCAGGGATCAAAGCCAAGGCGTAAGAATGACTGTCCCAGACACGGACCACGGCCATCTGCTCTGAGGGTTGCCAGGATCACAGGGCCACTCCACTGAGGCTTCTTATGCTGCCCTCACCATGAGCATCCAAACAGCAGACCTTGCCTGAAAGAAGTACTCCTCTCCGTGAGTGAGACCACCTGCAGGCAGGTGGACGCCATCACCCCACCTGAGCTTCAGCTGGGGTCTCCCACGAGACCAGGTCACACCTCCCAGTATGGGGGCCCGCTTTTCTCCCTACCTTGCTCTGAGGGGCCCATCAAAGATCCAGGCTGCTGCCTGCACCTCACTCAAGAGCTCTCACCAACTTGAGTGCCCCCCTGAGGGTGGAGTGGTGGAGTCCCAGGGGCCCCAGCAAGTTAAAGTCTGACAAAGTATCTCAGAATCCCATGCTTCTCAGCTAGCAAATGAAAATAGCAGGATCTGCTCTGCTACCTCATGGGGCAAAAATGAGAAAAGCACTTGGAAACTTTGTAACTAACATAAGAGGTTACTGTGAAGCACAAACTTTCAAACTATAATTGAGGAGTTGGTATTTTGATACAGAATGTGCCCATGAATTTAGACTACATTTAAAAAAGATCACTTACCCCACAATGAACATAGTTCTCACCCAAAAACTCTTTCATGACATTTTTGCCAAAGTCCACTATGTTCTGTAGGTGCTGAAATATTTCTTCCGAGGTCTGTAAAAGAGAACAACAAGAAGGCCTCAATGCCCAGGAGCTCCTAGAAAGCAGACTCTGATACCACCATGAGCCCCTGTCACATACAGGGCTGCCAAATACGTGGCCACAAAAAACCACCAGTGGCCCTGGACCCAGAGGAAGGTAAGCCCCACCATGAAGACTACCATACTCAATGGAGTGTCTGTCCCCAAGGGCCCCTGGACCACCTCTGCATTCTACTCAGGGCCCCATGTGATTCTGAAGCTCTAAGAGTAAGAACTCTACCTGTGGCCCTGCCTTCCTCACACCAGGAACATAGGTGAATTCCACCTGTGGCCTGTGCACACCTTCTGAGGAATTTGACTTTAAAAATCTTCCCCATCCAAAAATTACTAGACATTTAGATTTTATTCTTCACCCTCTAAATGTAGAAATAAAACACTTCCACCCCAGAGGTTCTTAAAGAGTTGATGAGCTGTGAGATTTAAGTGAGCTAGAAAATCGATCTTGTACCCCTCACTCTGACCCAAGGCAAGGAGAAAGGGTTGATCACAGGTCTCCCTCAGGAGCGAGAGGGCTGTCTTCATCAACAGCGGGCTGAGAGGTGCCTGACACATGGCTCAAGCTCTGAGAAGGTCTTGGTCTGAGCTGCTACGCATGCACCATAACACAGGCAGACCACAGCCTGCATCCCAAGGAACTACTGCGTTAGTTTTTTGCCTGGCAAAAAACTCCATAACACATCCAGTGGTTCTGTAGAGCTGTGGCCACAGGCTTCTGACAAAAAGGTCTTATTGTTGACAGAATTAACAGACACAATTTCCCACAAATTATGCAGCTGGCATCACATAGAGCCAGTTATATATCAACAACAAAAAAAAAAACAGCAAACTGTTGCCTTGAAAGACATTACCTTAATCAATGTAAAGAGGAAGAACTGAAAATAAAGGCATCCAGAGAACTCTGACCCTTCACCAAGGCCAGGCTCCACAGACCCCGAGTGGGGAAAGGGACGAGGGGAGAGGACTGAGGCAGCCTCAGAAATGTTTCTCCTCTCCACTGGATTCCACAGAGACAGAACCTCCCTCACGATTCTCTTCAGCAGCTGCACCCCCCATCCTGAGCCATCCTTCTCTGCACTGACCACACCAGCCCCGGACCTCACTGCAGTCAGTCCCACTGTGACAACAGTCCTCAGCTTTCTCCCCTGGACCCCGCTTCTCATTCTATGAAACTAACCCCCAAGAGTGCCTTTCATTTGCACAATCAGCCACCGTTGGCACCCATAAGCCATCCACCTCACCATCTTTTCTGGCTGTTTCGCCATAATTCAAATGAGGTGAGGTGGTGACTCATGTCTCTGACACCCTGATCTTGAGCCCAATTTCCACTCACCATCCAGAACCACGGCCCTGCCCCCACCGTGTGGGTGTGACCTGCAACTCCGGCCTTTTCTCCCTTTTTAAGGTAAGAATATATGCTCATATCATGCCCTCCCCACTGACCATGAAAGAGGGCTACTGCATATTGACCTCTGTGACCACTTAGATACACAGCTCAAGGTAGATAGACACTGCAACTCGGGGGTCAGCAGGCATGCGGCAGAACAACAGTGGTTTTCTAAGGGTGCCCACAGTACTTTGCTTGGGTGACTCAGAGAACAGAAACCCAGCACTGCATCTGAACTGCCAGCTGTGACTTGTAACACTGACTGTCTACCACAGCATTACAGACTTCATTTTCATAGCTAGACCTCCTCACAGATAGGGAAACTGAGGCAGCAGGGTGTACGGAAATCACCACGGCAAAACCAAGGCCTGGCCCTGGGTTTCCCAGTCATAAGCAGAGCTCTCTGAACTAGTCTGGGAGGCTCCTGACTCAGTACCCAGGGACTAACCATGATGACCCAGCAGGTCAAAGCACTGGGTCCTGCAGGAATGATGGGCACACGGCTTTCAGGAGTGAATGCTTGTATCATATTCAAATTTCTAAAATTAGCATTAATACTTTTGCATCAGAAAAATAATCAAAGTTTTCTTAAATAATTATTTTAATGATGGGGTGGCAAATCCACTGACCTTACCTTCTTCCTATTAGGAGGAAACTTCAGAAAACGAAGCACCACACAACGCTGTTGGAAAATAAGAGAGTCTGATTAGTACCCACACACAGCCTGGGGATAAGGGTAGGAGAAGGAGCTGGCCTCAGCAGTGCCTCGGACACCCAGTGACCCCGGGAGGAAGTGAGGGCCATTACTGGGCCACGTGTCTGAGGACACTGAGCAACCAGGAAAACCTATGCTCTTTGACCTAGTCAGGCCACGCCCAGTGATTTATCTGAAGGAAAAAAGATGCACAGAAGATTTTAGCTACTGCATATAAAAGTACTGTTTACAATTCCAAATAAAATGTAAACAACCTAAATGTTCAACAACAGTAGGATGGTTAAATAGAGAGGGACATATTCCAGACCCTGGAATACTATGTAGTCATTAAGCAGAAAATATGGAAGATCCATATTTACAGACACAGAGGGATAGCCATCATCACTGATAAGTGAAAAAGATTACAGAATGGGGCTTTCAGAGTGAACCTATTTTTATAAATATGTGTGTGTGTATATATATATATATATATATGTGTGTGTGTGTGTGTATGTGTCTGTGTGTAACCAAGAATAATGTATGGATACAGTGCTATTTATGTAAAGCTCAAAAACAGGTGAGACTAAGATCTCTGACACCTGGGATGGTCCCTGAGAAAGGTTCTAGAAGGAGCTGGTCATGAGAATACAGGTCCATGTACTTTATCATAATCAAGCTGTATATAAATATGTGTGTATATATATATATATATATATATATATGTGTGTGTGTGTGTGTATGTGTCTGTGTGTAACCAAGAATAATGTATGGGTACAGTGCTATTTATGTAAAGCTCAAAAACAGGTGAGACTAAGATCTCTGACACCTGGGATGGTCCCTGAGAAAGGTTCTAGAAGGAGCTGGTCATGAGAATACAGGTCCATGTACTTTATCATAATCAAGCTGTATACCCACATATGATGTTATCCCTTGTTTAATATAAAGTATGTGCAAGCTGAGTTTGTATGAACTGTCTGAAAAAAACTTCAGAACAAATAACCATGTGTCCAGGTATCAACAACTGGGGAACTTAATTTTTTCAAGTTCTGTTTATTTGGATTTTCCAATTTTTTACAATGTTAATATAACATACATTTCAAAAAAATACATACAAAAAAATATAACATTTCAAAAATTTTTTACAATGCTAACATTACATGTCAAAAATGTAAAAAAAAATAACTTTTTAAACAAGTACAGCCTTTGAAAACAGCCATTCTTCAAGGAAATAACCTGGATGTGTTATGGAGTCTGGGTAATGGGGGAGATTAATTCCATTTGGACAACTTCAGAAACCATTCCCATGGAGACAGAGAGCTCCAGGCAGAAGGGCTTGGCTGGGAACCTGGGCTGTGGAGCAGTGAACAGCAGGAGGAGGGCGAGGAGGAGCAGTCTGGGTGCTGTCTAGGGCACTGGGATCCAGGCGGGGCAGGAGGGGCTGGTGACTGAAGAGGCTCAGAAAGTAGAGGTTTAGCACTCAAAACATGGCCGCGAGCAAGCAAGGCCCATAGAGACCAGATCCATTTCCCCAGCCCACGGCCCCCTGACACTTCCCACCCAACTCTGATGACACATACTCCTCTCAAAACCCCAGACAACCATCACCTCCCTGAGCCCCAAGCCCAGACTTGGGGAAGCCAAGGTCAAGGGCATGTACCAGCCCCTCAGTTCAGTTCAGTTCAGTCGCTCAGTTGTGTCCGACTCTGCGACCCCACAGACTGAGGCACACCAGGCTTCCCTGTCCATCACCAACTCCTGGAGCTTGCTCAAACTCATGTCCACTGAGTCCAGTGATGCCAGCCAGCCATCTCTGCCCCCTCCCAAATCCAGGCAGACATTAGTATTCAATCATGGGAATCAACTGGTCAAGGATTCCATCAAAATTCAAGGAAAAACAAAAGTTGATAATGCAGAAACCCTAATTCTAGCCAACTTCCCAGAAACTCAGGCCCCTAAAAGTACAATCACTTTACCTGGATTCCACTATTTCTCAAGACCTACTAAGAAATTCTGAGTGTCATGTTGTGTCTGCTTCAAGGAAAACTGCTTTCTCTACTGACCTGTTTATCATTCCAAACTGTCACCAGAAACGGCCCCACAGGAGCTGCAGTGTCCGCCTTGAAGGCCAGTCTCCACAAATGCCAGCACTCAGCGGCACACCTGTTTTGGACAGCAAGCACTAACTGCCCCCTCTGGGGCTCTGACTGGGCTGAGCTGGTGGCCCTGTGACGCCCCAAGGCCAGCCGTGGGACCAGGAGACACCCATTCAGGTGGACAAAAGAGAAAAGATGAGAAATCAACCCTACCAGCCCTGGTTGGCATAAAGACATGGTTAGTTCAAGGGCCACCCGTGGTGTGTAGCAAGACTGATGCAACCGCCCACAGGGAGATTCCCATGAAGGAGCCCAAATGCACACCTAATCTGGTAAGCACCAGGGCCCTGCCAGCTCACAAAGTTCTAACCAGGTGTGAAGCAAACAACTCCTTCCCTTTTAAACATCTGAAACCAGATGTTTAAAATATATCTCCTTCACAGTGTCTAGGATAAATGTTAAGAACATGAAGAGAAAGGGATGAGACTAAGAAGACAGGCTTAAGAAGAGTTTCTGCATGGTCCGGGGCAGAGGCAGCTCTTCCCTGTTCCAAAGCAGGACAGGGAATCTTAGGTGGGACCTACACCTCTTCTGTCCTTTAGGATAGAAAAGTGTGGTGTGCTCTCTTATGCCTTGAAACACTAGATGAAAACCAAAGGTTTCAACAAGACTGAAAAAGTCAGTGAATGGAAAAATGACACTAATAAATACACACACACACTAAACAATCTCAAAATGTATATAAAAGAAGGAGATGGACTTGCCAGGTGGTCCAGTGGTTAAGAACCTGCCTGCCAATGCAGGGGAAACAGGTCTGATCCCAGCTCGGCGAAGATCCCGCATGCAATGGGGCAACTTCGCCCAGGTGCCACAACCATGGAGCCCGGGCTCTAGAACTTGCTCTAGAACCCATGGGCCGCCACTATTGAGCCTGCGTGCTGCCAACGACTGAAGCCTACGGGCCCCAGAGCCTGCGTTCTGCAAGGAAGAGTAGGCCCCACTCCTTACAACTAGAGAAAGCCCACACGCAGCAACAAAGAGCCAGTGCAAACAAAAATAAATAAATTTAAAATGAGTAGAAAGCATTCAGTGAGGGTCCCAGGCTGTGGTGGGGGAGGACCGGCATGTTATGTGCCAGAACCTAGGACGTGCTCTTTGATCCCCCCTGAAAACCCATCCAAATCATCCGAATACCAAGACATCAGCAAAGTCTGGCTCATAACAGCCCTAAAAGCACAGCCACGTGACTGTCTGACAGCACAGGAACCCTGGCTGCCCAGTGCTCGGTAGCCTTGTGTGTGTGTGTGTGTGTGTGTGTGTGTGTGTGTGAAGAAGTATCTACAGATTTACGCTGCAGAGTTGAGAGAAAAGGCAGAAAACAAAAACAGACAGATACCATTCTTAAGCATTCAATAAAAACATGTTATAGAAGGAAGTGCATCAGGTGTTAACAAAAATTATTTCTACTAGCAGGGAAATGCTGGATGCTTTTTACTTTCTTCCTTCTAATAGTCTGTATTTTCTGGGGCGGTGAAAGGAACTAATGATTGGCATTAAATAGAAATAAAAGAACACAGAAACAATATATCAAGAGGGTCACCTACCCATGTGAAGCCCAAGGGAGGAAATTCATGGGTGGAATTAAGACTCAAGGACCTCTCAGCTGCTGAGCTGAGCTGCTGAGATGATGAGCTGCTGAAGCCTCGCTGCTGGAGGACAAACCTAAGTCAAGTGAGGATATTACCTCCAGAAGGAGGATACTACCCAGGACAGGACCCCAGGAAAATCCCAGGGAAGCAGAGATTAGGCAACTTTCAAGGGAAAAGGAGACAGATAAACCCAGCAACAGAAGAACAGAGCCTCAGGGTGGTGCCCCAGGCACCCCAAAATGGCTCAGCCCTGCTTTTTGGTGAGGTCATCACTCAGACACCACCCCCCCCCAAGCCATTGTCCAGATCTTCCACCAGAACACCTGTGCCAGAACATCAGGCCAGGCCACGTGCGTCCACTGAAACCACCAGAAGCACAGCTCAGTTCCAGAAGAGGGATGAGGGGGATGAGGTGTGGGACAGGGTGGGGCTGACAGCCTCAGACAGAACAGACGGAGGGGGAGGGGAGACACTTCACAGACAGGAGCCCAAGACTCTGAAGGGAGGCCAGACAGCAAGTGGTGACAGCAGGTGCCTGGGCTGGGAAGGGCACTTTCCTTCCCAAGTTTCACCTGTCTGTGTGGACCCACAGCTGCCACAGGCCAGAAGCAGACACAGATGCCAGTTACGAGGTGGGAGACAGGACAGAGGTGGTGTAAGCCCAGATGGCATTTACAGGCAGGACGCTCAGGGACCGCAGCAGAAGAGGTGCTCAGAAGGATTCTAAAGGATGGAAAATCCAACAGCAGGAAGAGAAGCAGGATGTTTTGTAAAGACAAACCACAAGGGCATGAAAAGTACAGTGAGGGTGACAGAGAAGCACGCAAGTCCAAGGGGAGGCTTCAGAGCCCAGGCCCTCCAAGGCCACATGATGGCCACAGAGCCAGTGTCCAAACAAACCAAGGGGTGGGTGACCCAGAGCTGTGGTCTTGTCCTTCTGCAGCACAGAGAGGCTTTGCTTACCTTCCTGGTAAAAGGGGCAGGTGCTGTCCTGACTGAGTTCTGACTGAGGAGGAAGAAGGTTATCATCAGGGTGGGGGAAGTGACCATGCCACCTTAGGATACCAGGCCTAGACTGGCAGACCTCCAAATGCCAGAAAGGCAGACCACAGCACTCACCAAGGCCAGGACTGAAAACCACCAAAGAGAGAATGTCTTGGAAGAACCAAATCCTAACCATTCAACTGCAGGTGATCCCAGGAATAAAGACAGGGCTACATGCAGAGTTCCTCAATGAGACATCACCAAGAAAGAACTCTCATCAGCTTTATCCACCTGTATGAATACCATTAAAAACCTCAAATACAGAATAAGTTACTTGTTTAAAAAACAATACTATAGTCAACAGAACATTAACATATCTAACTTTCTACTAGATTCAGGAGAAAATTAAGCCCAGGATTTGGGAATGTCTTTAAAAAAAGAAAGAACAACTCTTATTAGCTTCCAATATCTCCATTAAGAAGTATGATCTACAAATCAGAAATCCTAAAACACAATAGAGAAACACACAGCCCCTGACTGCTTGAACCCCACATCTTCGGGGCCCACCCAAATATCCCAGGGCATCAGAATGACTGCAGAAACAATCTGAAGCCCGATCAGAATCTTACGAAGAACATAAGTCCTGAAAGATCGGAATAAACCTCTGATAAAAGATCTCGGTTGCCAAGTCTTTCGTGTTACCTCCATCAATGAGGAGGAAAACATCACAACAGCTGAGTGTGATAACAGGAGCGGGCCCCTACTTCCCCTGCAGCCCAGAGGTGAGGGGAGCTGGGGGGCAGCTCAGTGCTGGGCGGGGAACCTCTGCCTGGCCTGCCCTGGGTGACTTCCCCCACTGAAGGCACTTAAGAGATCAAGTGACAAACCAGTCTTACAGTGACCTTCACAGGACAGGCCACCAAGCCAAAACCAACAAGACCAAGGTGAAGAAGGGTCACTGCAGATGTAAAAGCAACACCACCTGGAGAGAAATCCAACGTGGCAGCAGCGCACTTGAGGGTTGCCCAGGGCTTCACAACCACAACTCAGCGTGAGCAGAGGTAGGGTGGACTCTCTAGAACAAGTGCCAGCAGCCTCAGGCTGCAGTGAGGAAAGGAAAGCATGTGCCCACAGTGGAAATGCCCTTGCCCAAGACCCCCACATGGTCAGTGCCAGGGACCCCAGGCACTAGCGTACACAGCCAAGTTGACCATAGCCTTTGAGCACTGCAGAGGGCTGGTGCCAGGGCCAAGGGCCAGTGCCTGGGAAAAGGTTAAATTGCACAGCTGGTCCCAAGGATGCTGAGCACGGGGCCATGGGAAAGTTGACAGCAACCTGTCAAGAACTGGCCTACCGTTCAGTCATCTCTTACTGCCCAACCCTGAATACATCCTCACACTACAGCCCTCCTTGGGCCTGCACGTAACTCCTCCATATCCAGGTCCCATTTTCTGCAAGTCCTGTGCTCCCAGAAGCCTTCCAACCCACCAGGCTGGAAGACTGTGTCTCATCCTACGTTCCTTCAGTACAGATGCCAGACCTTAGGACTGGCTGGCTGAAGGTATGTCATGCTTTGACACTGGAAGGGACAAGGGATAGACCATCACTTTTTAGTTCAGTTCAGTCGCTCAGTTGTGTCCAACTCTTTGTGATCCCATGGACCGCAGAACGCCAGGCTTCCCTGACCATCACCAAGTCACGGAGCTTGCTCAAACTCATGTCCATTGAGTCGGTGATGCCATCCAACCATCTCATCCTCTATCACCCCCTTCTCCTCTTGCCCTCAATCTTTCCCAGCTTCAGGGTCTTTTCCAAGGAGCTAGTTCTTCGCAGCAGGTGGCCAAAGTATTGGAGCATCAGCTTCAGCATCAGTCCTTCCTGTGATATTCAGGACTGATTTCCTTTAGGATTGAGTGTCTCATCACTTTTTAAGGAACTTTCAATTCTGAAAGTAGATGATGCCCTCTCTGAGGAAATGACCATCTCCCAGTCTGAATGAAGCCTGATAAAGGTCACACTCTACTTCAGAATGAATGAGGTGGGTCTGCAGAGTCTACCCATGGCAGCAGGAATACATGTTCTCACTCATCCACCTTCTTCTATCCCACTCACACACACACCCCCTCTCCTTGGGCACAGTGGACCCTGAAAGCTGCCTTCAAGGGCTCTCCTTCCTTCCTGGTCCTCAAGGCCCAAGTAAAGCCTAAAGGCTTCTCAATCCACGAGGGGCATAATTCTCCCTTTATTCAGCACCTTCACTTGATGGGAACGTTTTCTTACGAGACCGCTTGTGATCATAATCTTCAAATGATAAAAACCACCAAGTAGGAATGAGCACAGTAACAAAGATTCAGATTTAAAATAAAGAATGAAGAGAACAGGTAACAGAGAAGCCTGATGACTCAGTCTAAAGGAATAGGATACACGACCTTGACAACTGGAGCTGGGCAACAAGGGAAGGGGCAGCTGCCCTAGAGAATGGACACGTGTTTGTCAGGGACAATGGAGAAGGCGTCTGAGGGCCCAAGGCCTGCTGTCCTTTTACTCTTGAGTCTGGAAATGGCTCCTTCATCTGATGCTATTTTTGAAACTCAGTTCATTAGCTAAAAGAAGTCTTAATTAGCTTTACATAAAATGAAGATATACCATGTAGTCTTACTGAGGAATTGGAATATGAGTATTTGAGTTGTGAAAGGATGCAGGGGGTCACACAATATTCAAACAACAAAAGGGACTCATGCTGGAACATCCGGTGCTTTGCCCAACCCTGAAACACAATGAGGCCCAGCAGACTGCACAGAGAAGACCGGCTTCAGGTTAAGCCTTGTCAATTATTAATTATCCTAAAGATCTTGAGCAAAGCCTGCAGTCTCACTTTTTCAGTTTCCCAACAGTGCTAATGGGTAACAAAATGCAGAACACAGGGGCCACCTGGGTGACTGCAGCTTACCCTACAGCTGCCCCAGTGCACCCAGCTCAGGAACAACAGGGCAGGCCATCACTCAGCCCCTGCGCCAATCACCCTGTAGGAGCTGTTGGGCTGGGTCAGAGCGCCTAACCACTGAGCCAAGTGGGGATGATAGTTATCACTTGCATAACTTGTCCAGCTCATCTTTCTAGCAATTCCGCAAAGGGGATTCTGTTACCAGTTCCACTGGGCAAGTGCAGAAACTGAACCTAAGCCAGGCAGTGGTAGAACCGGGATTCCACCCAGCTCTGTGTAAATGCAACTCCCATTCTCTTAAGCCCTCAATGACACCTACTGGTTCCTCCCCCAGCCCATCACATTCCTGCCTGGTTGAATCAGACAGCAAGATGTCAGAGAGATCCGGGCCTTAACACAAACCCACAAGCTTCTCTTCCTGGATTCAACTCACTGAGAGTCCTTACTGCGCTCTCTGAAACTCATCCTTACTGAATAAAGAAAGGGAACTTTTTTTAATTCTAAAAGATTCTGGAGAAGAACGTGTAGACAATGCTCCACTAATATTAACAACAGCAGTAGGAGAACAGCAATTCCCTGCATTTCAGAGGCTGAACTCCCTCGGTGCTTGGGGAGTTCAAGCACTCCAAGCACTTTGCTTCTTCCTCCGGAGCTTGCCCGTAACCTCTATCTTGCCTAAGACTACCCCGGGCGTCCTCACCGCGGCTGGGCAGTCGGAGGCGGTTCCGTGTGAGACCAGGATGGGGGCGTTGGGAGGACACGGAACAGACCCAGGGGGAGGAGATAACACTGGAGGAACAGGGAACCGATCTGGATGGAGGGGAATGCTGGGGAGACACGGCACCAACCTAGGGGGAGGAGGAGAGCGCTGGGGAGACGCGGAACTGATCTGGGGGAAGGCGGTGACACAAAGCGGAGGCAGAACAGACCCGACAGGGTAGTGATGCTGGGGAGAGGCGAAACTTATCTATCCGAGAGGCAGTGACACTCGGGGAACGCGCAACCGATCCGGAGAAGGGCTGCTGGAGAACCGATCCGGGGGTAGTCGGTGCTGAGGGGATGCAGAACCAACCTGAGCTGAAGGGGCTCTGGGACACGCGTAACCCCCCGGGAGTAGGGTGAGGGCCCTGAACCTCGCCGACAGGCCACCGCTCACCTGCGCATGGGCCACCACTAGGCTCTTGTTGCCTTCACCGTGGTACCGCCATTCATTCTCGTCCATCTTCCCCTCGTCCATCCCACGGTGCGGCCGTGGAGCCTTGCGGGGCCGCAAGCTGGAGGCCGCTGGTTTGCCTAGGCACCAGCCGCCGCCGACCGGGCAGCAGCGCCTGTCACCCGCCACCTCCACTAGATCCAGCGCCGGGACTCGCAGGCGCGGGCCACCGGAAGCCACGCCCCCGAAGCTACCACTGCCTGGCCGGGCAACTTCCAGGTTCCGGCCGGCTTCCCATCTATCATCCACTGAGGCAGATGGGCTGGCGGCCATCTTAGGTACTGGCACAGTGACTCACTTCCGGAGCGCGATCATAAGAAGCTGAAGGAAGGTTTCCGGCCTGGGCACCGGAAGTGAGGCAAGCGGGAGAAGCCGGCGGCTCACGGGCGTCCAGAGGTGGCCAGCTGGTGAACCGGGGTCCAGGCAGGTTGTGGGTGGAGTTGTACTGGCGGGCTAGCAGCCAACGGGGTCCCAGCAGGGGCAAGAGCTGGGGAGGGGGCGGTCCAGGTGGGCCTGGGGTGGGTGGTCTCTAAAGCTGGAGACCACTGGATCATGAGCCTCAGCCTTCTTTTCTGTAGAATGGGATAAATTTCTCACTCATCGGATTGTTAGTATCATCTGATGCAGAGTCACACCAGTAGTCCGAGGAAGTAGAAACATTGTGGTCCACAGCTTACAAATAAGGATACGTGGTTTAAAGAGGCAAATGGACTCCTAAATGGCGTTCTTGCCAAAGAGTTACCTGAAAACCTGGGTTTGCCTTTTGGTGGGTGTCAAGCCAAAAAGTGGGAGAAGGAAGGATTCATTACTTGCAACAAGTAAGGAGATCCACGGGGATCTTTCCCAAACCACTGTCTCCCCAAATCGGACAACTGAGGAAGTTTTAAGCATAAAGGAGCTTTGGGAAGTCAGACTGCAAACTTCCGCTGGATGAACTCATGAGAGGCAGAAAAGATCTACATCATCCCTTGAACAGCAGCATGCCAGGCTTCCCTCTCCTTCATTATCTCGCAGGGTTCCTTCAAACTCATGTCCATTGAGTCAGTGATGCCGTCCATCTCATCCTTTGTTGCTCCCTTCTCCTCTTGCCCTCAATCTTTCCCAGCATCAAGGTCTTTTCCAATGAGTCTTTGCATGAGGTGACAAAAATATTGGAGCTTCAGCATCAGTCCTTCTGGTGAATATTCAGGATTGACTTCCTTTAGGATTTACTCTCACAATCATACATGACCACTGGAAAAACCATAGCCTTGACTAGACGGACCTTTGTTGGCAAAGTAATGTCTCTGATTTTTAATATGCTATCTAGGTTGTTCATAACTTTTCTTCCAAGGAGTGTCTTTTAATTTCATGGCTGCAATCACCATCTGCAGTGATTTTGAAGCCCAAAAGTATAAAGTCTCTCACTGTTTCCCCATCTATTTGCCATGAAGTGATGGGACCACATGCCATGATCTTAGTTTTCTGAATGTTGAGCTTTAAGCCAACTTTTTCACTCTCCTCTTTCATCAAGAGGCTTTTTAGTTCCTCTTCACTTTCTGCCATAAGGTTACCTACATATCTAAGGTTACTGATATTTCTCCAGGCAATCTTGATTCCAGCTTGTGCTTCTTCCAGCCCAGCGTTTCTCATGATGTACTCTGCTGCATATATGTTAAATAAGTATGTATGATGTGAGAGTTGGACTGTGAAGAAAGCTGAGCGCCAAAAAATTGATGCTTTTGAACTGTGGTGTTGGAAAGACTCTTGTGAGTCCCGTGGACTTCAAGGAGATCCAACCAGTCCATCCTAAAGGAGATCAGTCCTGGGTGTTCATTGGAAGGACTGATGCTAAAGCTGAAACACCAATACTTTGGCCACCTCATGTGAAGAGTTGACTCATTGGAAAAGACCCTGATGCTGGGAGGGATTGGGGGCAGGAGGAGAAGGAGACAACAGAGGATGAGATGGCTGGATGGCATCACCGATTCGATGGACATGAGTTTGAGTAAACTCCGAGAGTTGGTGATAGACAGGGAGGCCTGGTGTGCTGCGATTCATGGGGTCGCAAAGGGTCAGACACGACTGAGTGACTAAACTGAACTGAACTGAGGATTGACTGGTTTGATACCCTTGCTGTCCAAATGACTCTCGAGAGTCTTCTCCAGCACCACAGTTTGAAACCATCAATTCTTCAGCACTCAGTCTTCTTTATGGTCCAACTCTCATGTCCATGCATGACTACTGGAAAAACCATAGCTTTGACTATATGGACCTTTGTCGGGAAAGTAATGTCAAGGCTGTATATTATCACCTTGCTTATTTAACTTATATGCAGAGTACATCATGTGAAATGCAGGGCTGGATGACTCATATCATCCCTTTGGTCCCAACTTACCTGGCATTTCAGACTAATCTTTACCACTGAAACAGAACTGAGAGTCTTTAATACTGATAAAGTATCTTTTCTATTGTTACTTTTCATGCCTGATGACATTATTACCTTAAGATCATTATTACTGAGACCTGTTCAAGGGCAAGAGTTGTGGTCAGGCTTAGACAAAGAGATGGCTTATGCCAAAAATGGCTTCTTCTATGTCAAGAAAGCCACACTTGGTTTTCTTTCTTTGGGGACCCCCTACCCCATCTGCCTACAGGAGGAGTAGGTTTCACTGAACCTTGAGGCATACACTTTAAGCACGAGGTTTGAATTCTACCCTTGCCGCTTAATGGCAGTGAAACAAAAGGCAGATCTCTTCCCTCTCCAGGCCTCAGTTTATTCCCTGTTGACATGGGACTGAAGATCTCATAGAGGTGCTATGAGGATTAAATTAGATAAGTGAGTCTCAAATTCTCTCTCTCCAGACCATTTTAAACTCTAAAAAAATGATGGACAAGAATTCCCTGGTGTGGTGCAGTAGTTAGGACTCTACACTCTCACTGCCAAGGGCTGAAATATAATTCCTGGTCAGGGAACTAAGTCCCACAAGTCATGTTTTGTTGTTCAGTCACCCAGTTGTGTCCAACTCTTTGGAACCCCATGGACTACAGCATGTCAGGCCTCCCTGTCCGTCACCGTCTCCTGAAGTTTGCCCAAGTTCATGTCCATTGCATCAGTGATGCCATCCAGCCATCACATCTTCTGACACCCTCTTCTCCTTCTGCCCTCGATCTTTCCCAGCATCAGGGACTTTTCCAATGAATCGACTGTTCACATCAGGTGACCAAAATACTAGAGCTTCAGCTTCAGCATCAGTCCTCCCAATGAATATTCAGTCGATTGCCCTTAACATTGACTGGTTTGATCTCCATGCTGTCCAAGGTTCTCACGAGTCTTCTCTAGCACTACAGTTTACCATATTACAAATTTATATTATAATATGTTTATCATAAATTAAAACAAAGCTCTAAAAATTATTTTCATTTTAAAGCAATAAACAGTACCTTTTTATTTATTTTTTATGGAGGAGAAAGAAAGTGTGGCTTTATTACTTTGCCAGGGAAAGGGGGAACACAGTAGGCTAGCCCCTCAAGAACTGTGCCCCCAACCTCCCCTGGTTAGTAGGGAGAGGTTGCATAGTCAGGTAAGGCTATGTGATAAGGATCAAGGAACATTACCTTTTTAAAAAGTGATATTTCCCCAAAATACAAAGAAGAGTGGCAACAGTTTTACAATTTTGTTGCAAATCTCTTTCAAGTCTGGCCCCCTAGAGGACAGCCATAGTCTCACATCTGCTTCTGCACTGAATCTGTTGCTAGAGTCGAAGTGAAGTGAAGGGAAGATCCCCTGGAGGAGCGCATTATCAACCCACTCCAGTATCCTCGGGTGGAGAATCCTGTGGGCAGAGGAGCCTGGCAGGCTACAGTCCATGGGTCACAAAAAGCAGGACATGACTGAAGCAACCTAGCACTAGCAAGCACGAGGTGAAGTGAAAGTTGCTCAGTCGTGTCCAACTTTTTTTGAGCCCATGTGTAGCAGGAGGCAAAGGGGCAGGGCACAACTTTTGAAAGAAATAACATAGCCCAAGGACACAACATAAACCGATTGGAATCAAACGGGTCCAAGATGGCAGACAAGCCAACTAGACCTTGATCCTCAATCAGCAAGCTAAATGAAACACACAGAGGGGCCCTGATAGTTCCAAGACACTGTCAGAAAACCAAGGAGTGGGCAGTGGCTCAATCCCTGGCAATCTCCAACCCTTCCTCAAAAATGGATGGAATAAACCAAACCTCCCACTCATTAACATATGAAATTCAATTCAGTCGCTCAGTCATGTCCAACTCTTTGCGACCCCATGGATTGCAGCATGCCAGGCTTCCCTGTCCATCACCAACTTCCAGAGTTGCTCAAACTGAAGTCCACCAAGTCGGTGATGCCATCCAACCATCTCATCCTGTCACCCTCTTCTCATCCTGCCTTCAATGTTTCCCAGAATCAGGCTCTTTTCTAATAAGTTGGCTTTGCATCAGGTGGCCAAAGTATTAGAGCTTCAGCTTCAGTATTAGACCTTCCAATGAATATTCATGACTAATTTCCTTTAGGATTGACTGGTTTGACCTCCTTGCAGTCCAAGGGACTCTCAAGAGTCTCCTCCAACACCACAGTTTGAAAGCATCAATTTCAAAAGTATCAATCCACTGCTGTTTTCCAAATTTGCTGACATACTGAGTGCAGCATTTTCACAGCATCATCTTTCAGGATTTGAAATAGCTCAACTGGAATTCCATCACCTCCACTAGCTTTATTTGTAGTGATGTTTCCTACGGCCCACTTGACTTCAGATTCCAGAATGTGTGGCTCTAGGTGAGTGATCACACCATGTGTTTATCTGGGTCATTAAGATCTTTTTTGTATAGTTCTTCTGTGTTCTTGCCACCTTTTCTTAATATCTTCTGCTTTTGTTAGGTCCATGCCATTTCTGTCCTCTATTGTGCTCACCTTTCCATGAAATGTTCCCTTGGTATCTCTAATTTTTTTGAAGAGATCGCTAGTCTTTCCCATTCTGTTGTTTTCCTCTATTTCTTTGCATTGATCACTTAGAAACTTAGGAAGGCTTTTGTATCTCTCCTTGCTGTTCTTTGGAACTCTGTATTCAGATGGATGTATCTTTGCTTTTCTCCTTTGCCTTTTGACTCATCTATTTGTAAGGCCTCCTCAGACAAGCATTTTGCTATTTTGCATTTCTTTTTCTTGGAGATGGCTTTGACCACCTCCTGTACAATGTTACAAACCTCTGTCCATAGTTCTTTAGGCATTCTATCAAATCTAATCCCTTGAATGTATTTATCACTTCCACTGTATAGTCATAAGGGATTTGATTTAGGTCATACCTGAATGGTGTAAAGGTTTTCCCTACTTTCTTCAATTTAAGTCTGAATTTGGCAATAAGGAGTTCATGATCTGAGCCACAATCAGCTCCTAGTCTTGATTTAGGTCATACCTGAATGGTCTAAAGGTTTTCCCTACTTTCTTCAATTTAAGTCTGAATTTGGCAATAAGGAGTTCATGATCTGAGCCACAATCAGCTCCTAGTCTTGTTTTTGCTGGGTGTATAGAGCTTCTCCATCTTCGGCTGCAAAGAATATAATCAATTTGATTTCAATATTGACCACCTGGTGATGTCCATGTGTAGAGCTGTCTCCTGTGTTGTTGGAAGAGGGTGTTTGCTACGACTGGTGCATTCTCTTGACAAAACTGTTAGCCTCTGCCCTGCTTCATTTCATACTCCAAGGCCAAACTCGCCTGTTACTCCAGGTATCTCTTGACTTCCTACTTTTGCATTCCAGTCCCCTATGATAAAAAGGACATCTTTCTTGGTGTTAAGTCTTGTAGGTCCCCATAGAACCGTTCAGCTTCAGCTTATCCTACATTAGTGGTTGGGCATAGACTTGGATGACTGTGATGCTGAATGGTTTGCCTTGGAAATGAACAGGGATCAATCTGTCATTTCTGAGACTGCACCCAAGTACTGCATTTCAGACTCTTCTGTTGACTGTGAGGGCTACTCCATTTCTCCTAAGGGATTCTTGCCTACAGTAGTAGATATAATGGTCATCTCAATTAAATTCACCCATTCCAGTCCATTTTAGTTCACTGATTCCCAAAATGTCGATGTTCACTCTTGCCATCTCCTGTTTGACCACTTCCAATTTACCTTGATTCATGACCTAACATTCCAGGTTCCTATGCAATACCGCTCTTTACAGCATCGGACTTTACATCCATCACCAGTCACATCCACAACTGGGCTTTTTTTTCACTTTTGCTCAGCCTCTTCATTCTTTCTGGAGCTATTTGTCCACTCTTCTCCAGGATCATATCGGGCACTTACCAACCTAGGGAATTCATCTTTCAGTGTCATATCTTTTTGACATTGTGGGTTTTCTAATGAAACAAGAGTTCCATTAATCAGTGTCTGTTTATGACAGAAGCATACTAATTTTTTGTTTCTTCTTTTGCCATGCTGCCCAGCATGTGGGATCTTAGTTCTCCAACCAGGGATCAAACCCACATCCCTCACAGTGAAAGTGTGCAGTCTTAACCACTGGATCACCAGAGAAGTCCTAGTATCATGTCATTTTATCTTTGTAATGTAGTTTGAAATCAGGAAGTATTAGTCCTCCAGCTTTGTTCTTCTTTCTCAAAAATACTTTGGGTACACAGGGTTTATTGTGGTTTGATACAAATTTCAGATTTTGTGTTTGTGCTTGTATGTGTGTGTGTGCATGTGTATGTATGTGAAAAATGGACTGGAACTTTAATAAGAGATTTCACTGAACCTATAGTCTGCTATGAGTAGTATGGATACCTTAAGAATAATTAGTGCAATCATAAAACAGGATTTTCTTTCCACTTATTTGTGCCTTCTTCAATTTCTTTCATCGGTGATTTATATTTTTTAGTGTACAGGTCTTTCACCTCCTTGGTTAAGTTTATTTGTAGGTATTTATTTTTATAGTTTTGTTGTTTTTGGGGTGTGCTGGGTCCTAATTGCTGCACGTTGGTTTTCTCCAGTGGTGGCAAGTGAGGTCTACTCCCTAGATGCAGTGTGTGGGCTTCTCATTGTGGTGGCTTCTTGTTGCAGAGCATGGGCTCCAGGGTGTGTGGGCTTCGGTGCTTGCAGCACGTGGGCTCAGCATTTGTGGCATTCAGGCTCCAGAGCACAGGCTCAGTAATTGTGGTTCACAGCCTTAGTTGCCCCCATGGCATATGGAATCTTCTCAGACCAGGGATCAAACCTCTCTCCTGCAGTAGCAGGCAGATTCTTAACCACTGGACCACCAGGGAAGTCCAATATTTATTATCTTTGATGCTACTGTAAATGGGATTTCTTTCTCAATTTCCTTTTCATATTATTCATTGTTAGTGTATGGACACAAAACTGATTTTTGTGTATTGACTTTTTATCCGTTTTGCTGAATTTATTAATTGTAACAGTATTTTCTGTGAAAGTTTTCAGTTTTTTACATATGAGATCATCTGCAAATGGAGAAAATTTTACTTTATCCAATTTGGATGGCTTTTCTTCTGCTGTAACTTCCAATTCTGTTGAATAAAAGTGGTGAAAGCAGGCTTCCTTGCCTTGTTCCTGCTCTTAGAGGGAAAGCTTTCAAGTCTTAACACCACCACATATGTTATTTGCTGTGGATTTCATATGGCTTTTTATTATAATGAGGTAGTTCCCTCGTGTTCCAGGTTGGCTGTTTTTATTGTAAAAAGATATTGAATTTTGTCAAAAGCTTTTTCTGCTTCAATTGAGATGATTGTGTGTTCTTTACCTTCATCCTGTTAATGTGGTATATCACATTTACTGATTATGTAAGCTGAACGGGTCTTACTTCCCAGGGATAAATCCCAATTGAACTTGATGAACTTTTAATGCACTCTTGAATTTGCTTTGCTAGCATTCTGTTGAGAATGTTTGCATCCATCTTCATCAGGGATATTGGCTTATAATTTTCCTTTATAGTGTCCTTGTCAGGCTTTAGTATCATGGTAATACTGGCCCTTAAGAATGTGTGCCACAAAGGAAGTCTTAAGTTGACTCTTTGATCATTACATGTTCTTCTTTGTCTCCTGTAATAATTCCTGTCTTACTTAGTCTATTTGGTCTGATGCTGGTAGTCACTCCTGTTCCTTTATGGCTACTGTTTGCATGGAATATATTTTCCCATTATTTTAAACAAACAAACCAGTATTTATCTAATTTGGCTGTGTCAGGTCTTAAAATTGTGACCTGCAGGGCCTTCACAGTGGCACGCAAGCTTCTCTCTAGTTGGTGCGTGTGCTCAGTTGTTGCAGCACACAAGCTTAACTGCCCCTCAGCATGTGGGATCTTAGTTCTCCAACCAGGGATTGAACCCATGTCCCCTGGGTTGCAAGGCAGATTCTTAGCCACTGCACCACCAGGGAAGACCCTTTTCCCATTATTTTACATTCCACTGATTTTATATCTTTGATGATGGTGTGAGAAATAATGCAGTTAGGTAAGCAAGTGTATTATAGGTCTGGGTCTCTATCATGTGCTTCCATTTCTCTAAAGTGGGCTTCCCTGGTGGCTCAGATGGTAAAGAATCTGCCTTCAATGCAGGAGACCCAAGCTCAATCCCTGGGTCAGGAAGATCCCCTGGAGAAGAGAATCACTACCCACTCTAGTATTCTCATGTGGACAGTTCCATGGACTGAGGAGCCTGGCAGGCTACAGTCCATGGGGTAGTGAAGAGTCAAACACAACTGAGCAACTAATGCTTTCAACTTCATTTATGTGAAGTACAGAAAAAGGCACAGATGGCGTGCACTGAGGCTCGGCGTTCCCCCCGGGAGTGGGCACAGGAAGCAGAAGGGCTTTGGGAGACAGCCTGCCTGCACCTGTTTCTCGTCTGGATGGCGCCCGCACAGCGTGTCCACTTCGGACATATGCAGCCAACGGACACTCACTTCACTCTCACGTATGTATACTGTACTTCACAGACACTTTAGGGTAAATAAAACAAACTCGATTCCTTAAGAGTGAGATGAACAAAGGAATTCTGGTGTGTGTGTCTGTGTGTCTCTGTGTGTGTGTGTGTCTGTCTGTGTGTCTGTCTGTGTGTGTGTGTCTGTGTGTGTGTGTCTGTGTGCGCGTGCGCGATCAGTGATGTCTGTTGTTCTCATGGAGGCCCATGAGGTGGGTAAATAAAACAAACTCGATTCCTTAAGAGTGAGATGAACAAAGGAATTCTGGTTGTGTGTGTGTGTGTGTGTGTGTCTCTGTGTGTGTGTGTCTGTGTGTGTGTCTGTGTGTGTCTGTGTGTGTGTGTCTGTGTGCACATGTGCGATCAGTGATGTCTGTTGTTCTCATGGAGGCCCATGAGGTGGTATGCTCACAGCGTCCATGCAGGCAGCCTTTTTTTCTGTGGATAAGGTACCGTGGCATTACCTTTCACCCAGAAGGAGGAGCTCTGTATGCGTTTCAGGGAGGCAGGGGGGTTCCACTCCAGGGACCTGAGCTTATAAAGGATCCAGTTCATGGATGACTGAGGTGAACTCACAAGGGTCAGTTTACTTTCCCACAAAATGGTAACACACAGCTCTGCAGCTCTTCCAGCTCTGCTGTTTGAACACAACGGAAAGGTAAGCACAGAGGCAAACCTGAGGGCATCTGGTCCCTGCCAAAATTTCATGCCAAGTGATGTCAGAATGTAGGCACCTCTGTTTCCCCAGGAGCCTCCCAAAGGTAGGAGGCACAGTCTCAAAGCTGGTGCTGTTGTTTATAGCTCTGGTAACATGCTGGGTGTGAGGGTGCAAACCACTGTAGGGAGATGGAGGAGGTGGTGGCAACAGGGACATTCCCTCTTGGAAAACACAACCAAATGGAAAGCCTTTCAGCTCCAACTGCCCTCTCCCACAGGATCCACGGGACCCCACACACTCAGGAGGCTGCCACTCCACCTGTGAAATGAACAAGCACATGTGCAAGGACCCGAAGCACATTGAGGAGTAGGGAAGACCTCAGCATCTGCACTTGTGCATATGAAACACCCCAACAAGCAAGACTGGCCCAAGGGCCAAGTGAAAGGGCTTGCTCTGCTTAGCCCAGTGTCAATACCCCCTCCTCCAGATCTGTTGCAGGCTTTCTTCCCAACCTCTTCCAGAGGCCTGTTGGGATGACAGGCCAGGAGGGAAAGAAGATTTCTTCTATCTACTGAGAAAAACAAGTCTCTTTTGAAAGAAAGTTTCAAACTGAACATGGGTGCACACTAGCAAAGTAGGACAGATGGGGACTGTCAAGGGGAGGGTCCTCTCAGTGACCATGAGGCCAAGGGAGACTTCAGGTGCAGGGTGTGGTCATGGGGAGATGCCAGGGCAGCAGGACCCTGACTTCAGACAGCTTCCCAGAGGGAAGCCCTGAAGTTTGGGTGAAATCACTTAGGTCTGACTGGGACTGTCAGAAGGAGAGGTGGCAAAGTGTCCTAAGACTTTCTGTGTCCTCAGACATGATTTGTACCCTACACTCACAGTCACAAGCAATCGCTGGGATGGGCTCAGTGTGCCTTGAACACATTCCTGCAGATGAAGATGGTTTTGTTCATCAAACAAGTTTGTTTGTTACAAACAAGTAACCCCTGTTGCCTGTACCCATTCATTCCTGGGGTACAAAGACCAAGAGTTTGGACAGCAGAAGACCCCCTTGTCATGTAAATCTCTTTGCTTCCTGATCAGGACAGTACAAAGGCAATGTGTTCTCACTGCCACACTGCTGGGTGTTCACAATACCTGATGCCCATCACAGGAGGCAAGCCACGTCTTCCCTCCCTCCCACGCTTCCTGAGAGAGGTCTCCGGGTGCCTCCAGTTCCCACCACCAGGGTTACTGACTGTCTAGTTTTCTTGTTTCAGGTGCTGGAATTACAGTGCATTGCTGCACCCACAGTCATCTGGAGCAGGGGGTCAGAGCAGCCACAGAGAACAAGTCTTGTGCTTTGTCTTTTTATTATTTTTTATTTATTGGTCCTACCAAAATGACCCTTTACCCAGGCCCACTGTTCCTATGTGCACTGGCTTTATAGACACTTGTGCCATATGTCTGTGTCCCAACTGGTGACTGATTTCCCCTTCCTATTCCTTTTCCATGCAGTGCCTCATTTTCTCATAATCTGAAAGCCATTTTTGTTTGTTTGGGTCTGTGTAAAAGTTCCTTGGCAGGAGAACATGCATATGATCTTAAAATAAAGACAACATTCTGACACTAAGGTAATGCACAGAAAAATACAGTACTCAGACATCATTGCAAATAAATACCCCATACAGATGAAGTTTTTGTAAATGTAACATTATTTCTTATGAATCAACACTGTAAGAGAAGGTAAAAATAGGGGTCCCTACAACTAGGAATAAAAATGCTTATTCCAGGAAACAGAATTCTTTTATCCTTGCTACTTATATTATTATAATTTGTCCTGTATTTTGGAGAAGAGAGGACACTTTTTCTCATTCCTCCTCCTCGAGTACCAATTTGACCATTTGTACAACCTCACTTAGCAAATCAGGACAGGACAAAGATCTGGTTTGCTAAGGAGCTTCAGTGACTTCTGTTTCCTGAAATTAACAGTGATTAGTTACACCAAGCAAGAGAATATATAATGTCTTTTTCTCACATTTGCAAAGAATACTATGGCTAACCCTCACCCCAGTGCACGAGGCCGACGATGCCAGCTCCCCTGCCACCCACCCCACTCTTCACAAACGTGGCGTGTTGTTCACATAGCTTGCTTAGCTTGTCCCATAAAGTCCATTTGGTTCCCAAAGCACGCTCAAGGTTTGTATTCACTTTCACTTTTTCAGCCCCTGAATTTGCAAGGATCTGCACAGTAAAGAATCACTGACTAACAGAATTTTGCACAATTGCTGTTTTCTTTCCCTCAATGAAGATGCCCAGGTTTAGGTTCAAAGGTGTGTGCCTGTTCACACCAACTGGTCCACACCAGCCTTCAACATTTCCAAATAGCTCTTTACTGTCTGTTTTAGAAAACAGACTACACTGGGACACCTCCCTAAACTGATGAAGGCACTACTGGCAGTGATTACTAACAAAAAGGCGTTGAAATAGAACACCCTAAAAATCGAAGACTGTAGGATTTTCTAAGTGTACCACAATTTGGCACAACAACCAGAGTAACAAAACAATTCCAATTTGGAATTTCACTGGTACAGTTGTATAAAATTCTGTTAATCAGTCATGCTTCACAATATCCTAAAACCCAGAAAATTCTGGAATTTGTAGGTAATACTACTCGTTCAATAATTTATCTTTTTGTTTTCAAGTGCCTTTTACTGTTTAACCAGAGCAAAGGTCAAGTTTTCTTCTTGTTACACTGAACTATTCCTAAGAATAATAATAATACAATATGAAAAACCCCAGAATCGGAATACCCTGGATTTCTTAATGAACATGGCATTTAAAATCTGTAATTTCAAACGTGAACCACAATGCCGGATAATCTAAAAGGCCGCTGAACCACAGTGTGGATACATCAGGCCGGGCTCCTTACCGGGTTGAAGCCTTCACCTAAACAGTCTAGAGCTACACGCTAGGAAGACACACCTGTGCCATGTGCTGATGTCAGACCAACACAGTGTTGGGAGCTACAGGACCACGAGACAGACTACGGCATCTGAGACCATCTCTATGCCAGGGATTAAGGAAGCAAATATAATATCAAAATATCAAAAGTGCACAGATTGACTGGGTAAAAAAGGAGTATCTGTAATAGGGAGACCCCAGTGGTGAGTGTTTCTAGAGGGTTCCTAAGCAAGCCTGGTGGTCGCTGTCCAAGCAGGTTCTTCAGCGCCTGTACAAAGGCCTTTCCAAGCAGCAGCTGGCGGTATTCTCAACATTAAAGCTTTTATTTCCTCTGCCATCAAAAACTTGGGGAATGCTATTTTGAAAAGAATTGCAGTGGCATATCCAAAAACGTTTCTAAGTGGACTTTTAGGCTGCCCTTCCTTCCTCTGCGTGGGCCCATGGGAGAGGAAGGGAGGGGGCTGCAGTGTGACAGGGCCGGCGGCCGAGTCCTCCCAGAAGCTACTCTACAGCTGAAAATGGGAGAAAACAAGACAGCGTTAGAACTGGTCACCTGTCAGACAACTACGCTCTCACCGAGCTGTGAGGGCATGAGTGTGTTAGTTGGCAGCAGAGAAGACCTGCATGTGTTAGGGGGGCCGCTGGCCCCGAGTGCCTCATGAAAACCCTTTACAAGTATGGAGAAGGTATGTGCCAGGTTTGGCGAGGAGGCAGAAGCAGTATGCGGGGCCAGCAGGCAGTCATGCCCCTGGGAGTCCAGCTTGCAGAGGGGAGATGGCCTGACATCTTAAGTGGGAGGGGCATCAAGACCTGACATCCCCTCTGCAAAGCAGCCTGGAGCTGAAGACAGGTACACGGAAGAGACAGGTGTGGTCTATCCTGTGTATCTTCCATCTGGCAGTTTGGAAAACCCATACTGGCATCTGGTGGGAACTGAGACACACGTGGGAACTAATGGAAAGAGTGGAATGGGGCAAAAAGACGTGTGCAGGGGAAACACAAACTCCCCCTCCTGGCCACAGAGAGAGAAGCAAGGAGCTATCGAAGGTCTGCAGCCTCACGGCTGGTGGCCCCCAGGGATGACAGGGAGGGAAACACTGAGAGAAGTCCAGCTGCCAAAGCTCTGGTGTGGATGCAGCTCCTGAGAATGGGGGAAGTCCTCTGACTGCCTTTCTGGTCTGTTACCACCCCTTCAAATGCACTGACGATGAAGAACCATATTCCTCCTACCGTGACTCCTGAACCTTGCCCTGTCTCCACACAAAGCTCCCTTCCCACACCAGGCAGGGCTTCAGCTATAGCTGTGGGACCGAGTCCCACTGTTCAGCCTGGTCTGCTGGTGACTCAGACTCAGCTTAGGGGTTTCCATAGCCCTGTTTCTTAGAGTCTGAAGCCCTGTGGGAGGAAGGCCTGATAATGGGCAGAGGGTAAAAAAATCCACCTGAAAGCTGGGGACACCGTAAGTTCAAAAAGATGGGCTTCCTGTGAGGACAGAAGTCTAGCCAGGCACTTGGGAAGTTTTTCTTATTGGAAAAAACCCAAGCCTTTGGCCCACCAATTTGTCACCTTGTTGGCCACCAGACAAGCATACAAATCTCAGAAAGAGAAGCTGAGACTGCTGGGCTCTGGTCTGGGATGTGGCTAGGCATGCCTGTGCCTCTTGGGCATGACTGGTCCCTGGGCTGGAGAACGTGGGGCTGCTCTTCCTCTGGGTTTAGGGGAAGGAATTCTTTAATTCTGTCCCAAATATAAACTGCAACGAGATGCTGCACAAACTTCATAATCTGCCAAGTGCAGAGTGTCCTCCAAGGCTGCACCTGGGACTCAGGCTGGAACCTTTAACACTGGTTTCTGGGTGCTGGGGCAGTATAACTGCATTAGACACATGCAGGGAACATGCAAGTTTCAATGCAAGTTCTGCCCCTCCCAGTGGGAGCCAACAGCAACTGGGCCCTGGAAAGCCACATTTTTGCAAGGATGTGTGGCTCCAACCCCACCTTGACCACCCAACCAAGAGAGCAGCTGCTGTGAAGGGTGGTCCCAAGGGATGAGAAACAGACACAAAGCTCGCAGCGTCCAGGTGGAGTGGCAGGCTGCCTCTGCTAAATTCTTCCCTCTGTGCATTAGTCACAGTTAAGACCAGCCTAGCACCACAGTCCCGCTGCTGCCAGGTTAGTTGAGGTGAAGCGACAGGTGACGTGCGGCAGGTTAGCTGCAGCGTGTGACCCTGCGGCCCTAATCGCAGTAAATGTTATACTTCTCGCCACAGAGCACCTGGGCAGCAAGCCCAGCGCCCTCAGCCCTGTCACTAGCACAGGCGCAGGTATGACTTACACTCGGGGGGCCAGGCTTGGCCTTGGAGGTGGCCTTGGCGCGGCCCCTCCGGGTCTGCTCGTGGTCCAGCTCGAGCAGCTCCAGCCGCTGGGTCAGTGCCAGCTTCTGCTGGATGGCCATGCGCAGCAGTGAGTTGAGTGTCTTCTTCTCGTCCTCGGCAGCTGCCAGCTGCCGCTGCATCTCATCCAACTGTGTAATATACTCGTCACACCTGTGGGGAGGCGAGAGGCAGAGCGTGGCTGAAGGACCTGGGAGAGCCAGCAGAGCACGTGACCATGGGCCCCTGCGGAGAGCTCCAGGTGCACGCAAGCATGCATGCCAAGTCGTTTCAGTCGTGTCCGACTCTGTGTGACCCCAGGGACTGGAGCCCACCAGGCTCCTCTGTCCAAGGGATTCTCCAGGTAAGAATACTGGAGTGGGTTGCCATGCCCTCCTCCAGGGGATCTTCCCAACCCAGGGATCAGACTAGCATCTCTTAAGTCTCCTGCATCGGCAGGTGGGTTCTTTACCACTAGTGCAACCTGGGAAGCCAAGCTCCAGGTGAGGACTGCAACAGGATTCATCAGCTTACTGAGCTACAGACAAAGCAGATGGGCCTTTCTGAGGTTTGGCTTTCTCTGGGAGGGACTCTCTAAAGCCAGTTTTCACTAAACGAGGCAGTGGATGCCCTTGAAGGCCTCCAGCTGGCCCAGGGGAGCAAGTTAGAGATGTGATGTCACTTGGCTCTCAGGATGTGGGGATAAACCCGAGGGCAGGAATCTGTTTGTTCCTGGAACAGCCCAGGCACACAGCATGTGCTTAGTTAAGTCTGGGACAAACAGCCAACCAGGGACTGGGAAAAGCATCTGCCAACTGTGACACGGGCCTTCTACCTGTGTAAGGATCTGGGCGAGAAATGCCCACTCTGAGTCTGTCCCTGAGGGAGAGAGTATGACTGGGATAAGGGGGTAGTGGGCACACCCACCCTGCACCCCCATCCACCAAGGCCAAGGACAGTCAGCAAGCTTCAACCTTTGCCCAGAGGTTTGCCATCTGGGCCCCATCTGAAAAGTCACACTTTTAAACAACACAAGTTGAGGAAGCAAAGGTCAACACTGAACTCTTTCCCAAACACTCTGCCCACAAGCAGGGAGCTTGTCCCTCCGCTCCCACATCGCTGAAGCTCGGGGAATGCCCAGCGCCCTGACACAGAGCAGAGCAGACCCTGAGCTCAGCCCCCACCTATGTGACCAGGAGTCTCAGCCTCCCCGCCCTGAGGACACACCAGGCCTATCCAGAGAGCACGCCCCGGGTGCTTGACTGACTGTGGCCAGCAGATGGCACCAGGCCTCTCTG